GAGATGCTTGAGGCCTCTCTGATCTTCTGACATCTGTGACTAGCTGTCACTGAAGAACATGACAGAACCTGAAGGCTGTACAGAATTACAGAATACAGCTCTTGAGCTCATACCCCACAGTGTACGTATTTTCTCTGCCTATGGATGTTATTGCTATCAAGCACACATCTTTCATAATACCAGGCACTTGTAAGTAAAGCTTAAGAAAGAAGGACCTTGACCTCTTGTAAGAAACACAAACATTTTAGTTTCAACCCTGATTACTGGAATAAGGAAGAGAGAAAGTTAGCATGAAATACTGAATTAATTGGATTATTTAATTTCAATATGAAATATCGAATAATGAATAATCTATTGCATTGTATTGTTTTGCACGTTTGGAATAACAAGGATGAGAAATCCCATAGGTATCTCAGTGTTAGTTGTGTAAATACTTTGAGCTAATATGTCTGCAGTCTCAGTTTCCTGCCTCACTGCTTTAAGAGATTTACCAGAACATAAACTCAGAGAAACGCTATAAGAGAAAAATGGCAGAAAATGTATATTATCCTCACAGACATTTTTCTTATATATCCTGGAGACAGAATTGATCAACTGATCATATGCTTCAAGACTTAAAATATTATTAACTATTTTTTGGACTTGATATCAACTCATGAAGTGAGCAGTTGGGAAGTAGAAGATACCAAAGGCAGAGAGAATTTCTAGATAATGGAATAGCATATCTACTCAACTTTCAAAAGGTACTTTTCTTACCTCTACATTCCCTCCCTTCCTTTCCCCTTTTATTGCCCATATTTGAGTTACTGTGCTTTTGTTAGAAAATGAAATAACATGTTTTATAATTAAGGCCTATGATCTTGATATATAACCTCTATGTTCACCAGTGCAGTGTGCACCTAACGCAGTTGTTTCCCAACGCAGATCAAGTCACCATAAAGCTACACACCACTATGTCTGTACAAACGAAATCTGCCACTCTATGATAGCACCTGCAAAATATTATGCAAATGTGGTCCACTGTAAAATAGGTTTTGTATACGCCATGGTGAGTGTTTAGTAGGTTGTCCTGGGTTTTTTTAACTGCAGTGCATGTACTGGAATTCCTAGGCACACTAATCATTGGGATATAGAAGATTTTAAAGAATTTTCCTTCTGAAGGCGCTACACATGGCTCATGCCAAAATTCTAAGCAAATAAAGATAGCTCATTTATTAAGGATTAATTATAAATTAAAAATAGATATAAAAAATAAATACAAAAAAATATTTTGTAGCCATAAAGGGAAGGTTTGCTATGTGTTCAGTCTCAACTCCTCTTATTTCCAGTTTCCTTTCCACATTAACCCAGCAAACAGCAACAGCAAGAATGCAGGAGTGACGTGGCTTCTCTGAGTTTGTAGGCACCTGAATGACTAGTAAACTTCAGCCTAAAAGACTGTGTATTTATTTATATAGGTGTGAGAGGTTGCAAGACGCTTATTAATCCTGAAAAATCCTAGTATTTTTCCCGAGTTTTTATTTGTTTGCATTTGAAATGAAATAGGGCTGTTATCTTTAAATTGGGTAGAAAGAGATTACTCATTACCTGTAATCTGAAGAACTGCCTACCAGTGAAAACGCAGCCACTGGCTGCAACCTTAGAAGTTATTTGAGACTCCCTATCAGCTAAAGGTGTACACTGGCTGCAGTCTTTCTATTGTTTGGAATAGCTTGTCACTTGACCTCATATGATACCCTATTATTGGTGGATAATTAAATCCAGCTATTGTATTCTGAAAATATTAGATGTAGTTTGTAAATAATCACTAGTTTGTTTAAAACTATTTAATACAAAACATGTTAATTTGCTTTCTCTTAACACACTTTAAATTGGTTTCCCAATATGTAGTGTATATTATGGCTCATGATCAACTATTTAATGAGATATAATAAATTAAACCAGTGAGGACTGAAATTTCTTCTACAGATTTTGGGGTCAGAATTATATGAAGCCCCATGAAACACCTCTGCAAACCATTTTGGATTGGTTCATGGAGCTTGCTCCAGTACTTTTCATAGAACACATCTTAAATTACCCATATGTAAAATGTTGTGAAAATACATTATTGAGGAAAGTCCTAAAAGGGACAATGCTAATCTGAAGCACAGATGAGTTTTATTTTTTTATTTTAGTACCCTGGTGATTGAGCATATTTCTTTTCTTTTCTATAGTTCTGGAAATAAAAATCACAAAGCAGTCCAACACGTTTTCATCCAGGAGTGTAAACCAAGACTGAATTTCCAAGGCCTGGACATCTCTGATATTCATTCTGTGTTCTTGTGCAAAAGATGTCAAAAAACACATCAGAGAGCTCAACTAACCCTCACTCAGCTCTTCTAGGTCTGTTCTTGGGAAGCATTTCACTGACCACTGTTGTCATGAATATATTAGTACTATGTGCCGTGAAAACTGAAAAGAAGCTGCAAACAGTTGGCAATTTATACATTGTCAGCCTCTCTATTGCAGATCTTATAGTTGGTGCAGCTGTTATGCCCCTGAATATTGTTTATCTCCTAAGTCCTGTGTGGACTCTAGGCTTACCAGTGTGTTTGTTCTGGCTGTCCATGGATTATGTGGCCAGTACTGCATCCATTTTCAATCTCTTCATCCTGTGCATTGACCGTTATCGTTCAGTTCAGCAACCACTGAAATATCTCAAGTATAGAACAAAAATGAGAGCATCGCTAATGATTTTGGGGGTTTGGTTGCTCTCCTTCATGTGGGTCATTCCAATCCTAGGATGGCACGTATTTGCTAACAATGGGGAAAGGAAAGTAAAGGAAAACAAGTGTGAAACTGAATTCTCCAAAGTCACCTGGTTTAAAGTGTTAACAGCCATTGTTAATTTCTATCTACCCTCCATCATGATGTTATGGTTCTACTATAAAATATTCAGAGCTGTTCGAAAACACTGCCGACACCGAGAGCTTATCAATGGATCATATCGGTCTTTCTCAGAAAAAACTCCCACACATCATAGGAAGACAAAGGACGAGCAAAATACTTGCCTCCAAAAGCAAATCGTAGATGAGAACACCCCTCCCAAAGATGAACAAAGCTCCCCTCAGCCCAAAAATATGGAGGCAGAGCTTAATTTCAGTAATCCTGACAAGTCTTCAAAGGCATTCGTTAGCAAGAGGAATAGGAAAGACCTGAAATGGAGCTGTTTTCCTCTCACCAATGCTCGGTGTGAGCCAGGCCTGGATAAAGCAGGAAAGAAGTGTGTGTGCGTAACAAAAGAGAACAAAAATGAAGAGGAGGCTTGCTCACAAGACAGTGATTTAAGTGATGGATCAGACAACCATACTTTCACAGAGGAAATACGCTGTAGAGAGCACCCCAGTCCTAAGCCTGAAAAAGCCTGCAGTCCTCAGGAAGAGACTCGGAACGGTGATTTCAGAGGACTGACTTACCTGAGGAAAACCTGGCAAAGTCTGCATACCCATTCCAAAAGGCGCATTGAAGGACTGCATGGGAACAGGGAAAGGAAAGCAGCTAAGCAGTTAGGGGTCATAATGGTAGCCTTTATACTGTGCTGGATTCCCTATTTCGTATTATTTATGGTAATAGCTTTCCATGGCCATGAACAGTTTTCGAAATTACACATGTTCACTATATGGCTTGGGTATGTGAACTCCACTTTAAATCCATTCCTGTATCCTCTTTGTAACCAGAATTTCAAGAAGACATTCAAAAAGATCCTTCACATTCACTGATACTAGTCTGAATTTTTTTGAGCTAAAAAGCAGCTCAAGAGTCCAACCAAACAAAATGTTCCAGTTTCAAAGACGAACACCATGGGTAAAGTAGAAGACTTCAGAAAACTGTAACTTGTACGAGTGTTAGTAAAAGTGGGAAATGTACATTTAACAGCTTTAACACATCTGAAGAAGAAATAATTCAGATGAGGAATCTGAAAAACTCAGGGGCAATCTCAGAACTGTTACAGTGTTGTACACATTTTACAATTTGAGATTACCTCTTTCATCAAGTAGAATTAAAACTGGAGATACAAAGATAGATCTTCAGTGATTATAAATCGCAGCTACAGGAAAGGAATAAATAGAATAATGTTTATGCGATTGGCCAAATATATTTTTCTCTTTCGACTTACTCCATTAAACACAGGAACACACTGCTTGTGAAGTAAGATCTGCAAGTGGAGGTACTTTGCACAAAGAAGCTTCAACTGTTTTAAAAAAATCTGCCCTATTTATTTATAGCTTCCCTCAAATTATAAAATTTTTTTAAATGTTAAGTCATATTGTAACCTACTGTACCTCTTTCATATCATGCTTGCTTCATTTGTACCCGTACATGTTAACTTCACTGAAAAAAAAAAAGTATTTTTATGTCCTAGAAATTTTGCTAAGACTTTCCATACTCAATGCCCTATCATGATCTATTCAAGAAGGGTATGCTGTTCTTTCTAGACTTATGGAATATAGTTGGTTATAGACTACACATATTTTCTTCTTCCTACAAGTTGACAAATAACCTAAGCATGCACTGGCAATATTAATCCATGTATCCTTTCCTTGTAGTAGGCAAACTCTTATTAATACAATGAGGCAAACTCACGAGGAACAACTCAAGCTTGAAAAACTGAAAATAAAATACATGAAGTATGTTTACCTTTTCTATCCTTTATATTTAATTGCATTTTATAAACCATGCTGTAAATGCTGTAAAATATTTCAGGAGAAACACACAATAGTAGAATACTCTAGGTTGGAAGGGATCTCAGGAGGACATCTAAGTACAACCTACAAGTCAAAGCTGGCTGGCTTTGACATTACATCATGTTGCTCAGGGTCTTGTCCACAACAAGCACCTGTAAAAGCAGCTTCATCTGGAAAAGGTGTGAGGCAGCCTCGACAGAGAAGTTTGCCGCTAAGGTTCACTCTACCAACTTGGAGCGTTCACTTGCTCAGCCATTGATTTAGCTGTTTCTAAGTACTAATTCTCAAAAACAGACATACTCTGTTATACAGCAGGAATCAATCCCCTCTTCTTAAATGCAGTCAGGTGTAGATTTGTTCCCAAAAGAAGAAGACCTAGTTCCTCAGCAAAAAAATACATAGTGGCATGTATTGCATGAACTAACTTATCAGGAAGCTTACAACTTCACAAAATAAAACCCAAAATAAAACCCAAAAAAGAATATACAGACTGGGCAGCAGGGAGGTGAATTGAGGCAGAGTAGATCTGGGGCCCTGTATTAACCGAATATCTCAAGACGGCGTACCGCCTTGTTAGAGGCACACCAGTAAAGCATTCATTCCTATTCTTCTGCTAAGGAACTCAGAGAAACATTTGGAGCAGACACTGTGGAGTATGTTTTTAAGAAGGAATCCCAGAACCATATAACTTCAACAGCTAAAGTCACATTTGCATGTAATATGTTGAGTTTATGCGAGTCTTTTCCATACACTTTGGGAAGGATGATGAGGAAGGCATCCTGAAGGTTCAATATAAAAAGAATGTCCCCCCATTCATTTTGTTGTGGTGATGAATTTACCACTTCCTGAATGCTTTCTTGCTTCTGAAATTGCTTGGTTAGCTTAACAACCAAGATCTGATGGAACTGGAACTCCTTCAGTTGAGTACTGTCAAGAGTTTGGCGGGATGAGTTAAAGGGATGTTCTGTGTAATATCTTTATTATATCAGAAGCGAAAAATGGCAGTTTAATGATCGGAGAAATTCTGAATTCTATGTTCTTAATTAATTATCTTGAGCTACTTAGAGACCCTCTGTGCCACGTGTGCCTACTTCATAAAGTGAATATGATAAGCCTTACAGTGACAATGCAACACTTAGGATAATGTTTGCATGATGTTCAGAATTTTTTTATATAATACACTAATTAAATGCAAAGTATTAGTATCCTCTGTCAGTTTTATCTCTCTGAATTAAACACCTGAATGGAAGTAGCTGTATTTAAAGTATTCAATATTAAATGAAGCCTTAATATATCTGCATTTTAATAAATTGGAAAAATGTGTTAAAGGAATAAACTTATATTCAGTCTATTTCAATGTATTATACAAGGTTCAGAGATTAGTTGACTTCGATCTCTAGCATGCAGGAAAAACTGCAATTAGGGGACTCAAAACTAGGAGAAAAAAAAGGCAAAATACAGAGACAGAATATATAAGCAGCAAAAATAATTCCAGAATTTGGGCAACTTTTTCACTGCAGGAGCAGCATCTCCACAAGTAATAAAATACGCCTTCTTTTGGACTACAGAGCAGCATCTTCTGACACATGTGCTCTAATCCAATGGCCTTTCACAAAGAATTGCTCTGATTCATGGCCATTATGATTTTTTTTCTATTGTGATATGCAACAGCAATTCTAGCCAAAACGGATGGTAATTTTAGGTGATGCCTGAGGAAATAAAAAAGCAGCACACTAAGTCAGCGACAGTTATTAGTGTACACCCCTGAAACGTGCTCACCCAAGGGCTAGAGTTATCAAGAAGTCTACCCTCTTGATCAAGACAGTTGCCTTTTCTGACTTTACAATGTATTAATACATGAAACAGCAACCTAAACAAAATCACTGAAAATTGGTCTAAAAATTATGATGGCTATAACAAAGAATACATCTGGTATAATTAAACATTCAAACACAGAACACCTAAACCTAGGCAAATAAAGCTGCCTGAATGTTTTTTATCTCCATTTTTATCCATAATCTTAGTGTAACTGTGTTAATAATAAAGACAAGCAAAGTTGTCACAGTGGGTTTCTCTGATGTGATAGCTGTAATAGATAATAATAAAACAGGAAAATGGGATACTGCCTATTTTAAACTTCTCATGAGCAAGGTACCTAACAGGATTTATCAGTTTATTTTGTGGAACAGGCAATTCAGATGGCTCTGGATGAAAGAGAAGCAGAGGAAAGAACATTAGGGTAAGGAATGGAGAAGCCTACTACCACGTGGGGCCAAGCCTCAAGAGAAAATTCCAGGTGTGGTTTCTTGTAAAATATTTTCAAAATTTTCCAGTTAATAAACAAGGTCAGAGGACACACAGTTTTAAGACAACATAATAAATTCATTGGAATCTCCTGGACTGGAGTTCTGCTTTGATTAAGGTGTGGTGAGAACCATCAACCCCGCTTTTAAGAGCCAGAAAGATATTCTCATATTTTTTTCTGTGTCAGTGGTGACATCTGCTGGGTAATGAGAAGAATTCTGAACTTCTGCATCAAATACTGTGTATCATGCAGGTTTATTAAAGGAGGGGTGCAATTAGGAAGTGGATTCTGCCATCTAGTGCATGTTTCTTTTCCCATAATGTTTTCAGGAAATGTGTCACTCAATAAAGGAAACATGAGTGTATGTGCAGGTTTTGGCTTCATTCCATCATCTGAAAGGACTCCATTACATTAGGTGTGAGACCACTTTGTGACACACTTTGTGAGAGCAAAATAAATGAGAATAAATGAAAGATTCACTTTAAAAATGTATTTCTAATCCTAAAATATTAATATAGGAGCACTGTAGACACCTCTGAATAGTTCTAGAGGAGGTCCTGGCTTCTGTAGACTGCTGTCTCAGGATGAGCCTCCTAACTTAGCTGGGATGGCTTAAGTTCCTAAAGATGAGGTGTGAGAAGATACTTGAAAGTTTCAGTGTGTGCATTCTCTCCACCAGAATGAGAATTTGTTCATTTGGAAATGCCATTTAAATAGTATGCATACACACTCACTTTTGTTGATTCATTAAGTATGTCCTGGTTTTGGCTGGGATAGAGCTAGTTTTCCTTCTTAGTAGCTAGAATAGTGATGTGTTTTGGATTCACTATGGGATTTGGTATAAGAAGAATGTTGATAATACACTGATTTTTTTAGCTGTTGGTAAAAAATCAAGGGCTTTTCAACTTCCCATGTCCTGCTAGTGTGCAGATACACAAGAAGCTGGGAGGGAGCACAGCCAGAGCAATGGACACCAATAGAGCAATGGAATATTTCATATCACATAACGATATGCTCAGCATATAGATGAAGGCTGGCCAGGAAGCTGGGGCTCTTTCTCTTCTGGGACTGTGGGTTTGGGGTTTTCCCTCCTCTGTGATCGGTAGCTGGGAACAGGCTGGGCATCGGTTAGCAGGTGGTGAGCAATCACACTGTGCATAATTAATTTGTCTTTCCTATTATTATTGTTGTCGTATTATTATTATTATTATTATTATTATTATTATTATTATTATTATTATTATTATTATTATTATTATTATTTCATTTTATCTCCTTTTATTTCAATTATTAAACTGTTTTTATTTCAACCTATGAGTGTCCTTACCTTTATTCTTCCAATTCTCCCCCTCACCCCCCAGGGTAGTGGAGGGTGAGCAAGTGGCTGTGTGTTGTTTGGCTGCCAGCTGGGTTTATACCACAACAAAGTACAATCCCAAATTATTCATTTTCATCAAATTACTTGTCTGTTGAAGAATTAGAAGATAAAAAGAACAATTAATGTTAACACTGTGTGAGAAATAGCTCATGAAAATAGTTTACCCTCCCGGTACCAAATTCCAAATTATCTTTAAAAATGGTACATACCTGACACAGAAATGAACAATTTCTACATGGGCATCTTACAATCTAAAATAGAAATATAAAAAATCAAATGTGAGATGTACAGTCTATGCATGCACAGAGACATGAGCACACATACTAGGCTACAACACAATTGTAATTTGAGATCCCCACCAGTTAAAAAGTGTAAGATATCCCACTGAAAGGGATGTACATTTGTGTATAATAATGGTTAAAACCATACTGACATCTGGTAAGATGTCATTAACATCTTATAACATTTCCATTTGAAACAATATTTGTATCCCTTACAATTTCCTTTTTTTTACCAAGGTATCTTCTGTTTAAACTCTGATATGTTTCAAATAAATTATGTCTTAAAAGAAATATACAGCACCCATTGCTATACATTGGCACCGTGTAATTAAAATGAATGCCTATTGTGTAATTAAATTGAATGCCTTGAGGAAAAGCAAATGCCTTTTGATCAGGCATAACTTACTCTTCAAAAACAACAGTCAGACCTGGGAACTGAACTCAGGTCTCCAACCTGGCAATGTAATTTCCTCCTTCACGAGATAAGAATAATCCCTCAGCTCAGTTCTTTGAGGAGTAGCAATTGTTTCTCTGTATCACAGCCAAGTGCTTGTAGGAGAGGTACCTGCCTGTGCCAGGAAAATTAGTGATGGTGCTCACAGAAGTCTGTCAACATGGCAAGTGCAAGATGATACCTTATACTCCTACCGTACTCCTCCCATACTCCATACTCCTGCCTATTCCACTATTGATTTAGGTATTCGTTGCTACAACAGACTTTTAATTCTGCAGTGTCCAGCTCTTGCAGCAGTAACAAATGTACAGCACAGAACTAGGTTACTTTTGACAGTACTTTTTGTAATTGAAATGGTAGAATAATTCTCCCAGGTTCTGCTTGTATTCTGTGGTCATGTTGTCCTGCTTTCAGTGGAAATAAAGTTAATTTTCTTCCCAGTAGCTGGTACAGTGCTGTGTTTTGGATTCAGTGTGAGAATAATGTTGATAACACACTGATGTTTTACTTGTTGCTAAGTAGTGCTTATCCTAAGTCAATGGTTTTTCAGTTTCCCATGCTCTGACAGCGAGCAGCTGTGCAAGAACCTGGGAGGGAGCGTGGCCAGAAGAGCTGACCGCAGCTAGCCCAAAGGCTGTTCCATACCATAGGATGCCATGCTCAGCATAGAAACTGGAGGGAGTGAGCCAGGAAAGGCTGGTCGCTGCTCGGGCATTGGTCAGCAGGTGGCAAGCAATTGCATTGTGCAGCACTTGTCTTTTCTTAGGTTTTATTTCTCTTTTTGTTATGTGAATTTTCATTACAATTATTATAGCTATTATTCTATTATCTTCTGTTTTATTTATTAATCTGTTCTTAACCCACAAGTTTTACTTTTTTTTCCAACTCTCCTCCCCATCTCACTGGAAGCGGGGAGGAGTGAGTGAGCAGTTGCGTGGTGCTTAAGTGCTGGCTGGGGTTAAACCACAACACATGTTCACTGAGACTGTTGTATAAAATTCACTTAAATCCTTAAATGTAAAGCCCTATATAAACCTAAATAAATATTATTTTTATTAAAACTTATAACAGAATCTGAACTAAATAGTTCTGAGAAGTCATCTTCTCCAAAACATGTTGAATCCATATTCCCTAAGAATGGATGAGTTTGAATCCGTTTCTATTTTACTCTCATCTTCAATTCCAGGATGATTTTCTCCTGCTGCAAGATTTTGCTTGGGGAAATTGAAAGTCCTACCTATGGAAATACGTGCCAAAACCACCCAACAGATTTATTCCCTGTTTTTAAAGGACTGTTTTCTAGTTGATTACTATTCTCATGCTTATACAGACACTTGTATTTGCTGACAGGAAGATCTCACAAGGTAAACCATACCTGCAACAGTCAGTCAACTCCAGCATAAACCTCAGGTTAATTTTGTTATGGTCACTTTCTTGAAGATCCAAGGCACAGAGAACTTTGAAACTGCCTTCTTCTTACATCGTAAGAATTCACTGCGGTGTGCTTGTATGTATACATCAGCAGTTTCATGTGTAAATCTCAAATTTATTCCCCTGTCAACTAGTCTGTATAAAAACAGATAGTCCAAGTCTGCAAGCCTACCCGATGTATGTCCCATTTCCCCGAAGCTACAACTGTTGTGCAGGAATCTGACTCCTAGGGTCTGCTTTCTTTCTGGGTGTGACATGTCTAGTTGAGATGATATGGGGATGTGGGCTCACAGAGGAGAGTCCCTCTGCCCTGTACTGGTATTATTTCTCATGACCTATGTTATGCGCTGACAGCTGTTTCATAGTTATATGGAGACTGGGTAAGAACATTCCAGCTATTTTGATGGGATGTCATCAATGTTCCCTTTATACTCCATGTAAAAAGAGAGTACAAAGACCAAAAAGTGATAAAATCTTTTCCAGCCCTGGGGAAATAAACTGCAGAACTGAGTTATGAAGTATTCAATGGAGTACAGGTGATCCCAATACTAATAAAGTGAGTGGCATAGTGGCATGCACAATAAGGAATTGTAGAATTTTACTGATGTAACGCAATTAGATTCAAGGTATAGCATCTACAGCACACTTCCCAAGTTTGTACTAATTTGTTTTATTTGTGAAATTCCCAGAAGGTCTATTTGGCCCACGTTCCACAGCAAGGTTCTCTATCCAAACATCAGCTCTAAATTTAAAAGATAGCAATTTCAATTTTTTCCCTAATGCTGCCTGAACAATTGTCTTTATGTGACCTTACCCATGCTTATCTAATGGCTGCTTTTCCTCTGAGGCTTACTCACAATTTTGCTGGCAGTTTCTGCAATACAGGCATTAACTGCAGTATTGTGTGCTCCAAAACTGAAGGCAGCTCTGGCAAATTTGTTTTTCCTGATAGGTAAGTGAGGTAAACTCTCTAAAGAGGTAATGTTTGTTTTGTAAAAAAAAATATACTTTGTTTTGCATTCTAGATCTGCAAAAGTCAGTATAGACTCATTAAAAAATGTAGGTTGGAAGGGACTTCTGGATGCCATCTAGTCCAACCTCCGGCTCAAAACAGAGCTAACAGCAAAGTTAGATCATGTTGCTCAGAGGCTTGTGCAGTCAAGTCCCCAATGATGGAGAATACAAAGTCTCTCTGGGAACCTGTTCCAGTGCTTAACCAGACACATTAGGTACTTTTTTCTCTATATATTCATTTGAAATTTTCATTGACAGGTGCCCTTTTCCTTCCTGTTTATTGCTATGCGTCTCTGGGAATATGTCTCAAATCTTCTCCACTCTGGGTTACGTGGCATTTCCCTTAAATCCCCTTCAGCCTTGTGTGCCCCACACGAAGCAAACCCAGCTCTCCCAGCCTCTCACGCCCTATGCTCCAGCCCCCAGACCATTTTAGTGACCCTCCGCTGGCCCCGTGTCCGTGTCTGATCTCTCTCGTACCGGGGAAGGGAAGTTGGAGGGGGACACTCCCACTGCAGCCTGGCGAGGAGCGGGAATCGGTGACAGCCCGCAGCCGTGGGGATGCGCCTCTCCCTCACGCTGGCTCCCCGAATACATTTTTACCACAACATCAGGCCCGCGCTCAGACTCGAGCACCGTCGTGCGGATTCACGCAGCAGCCGCCGCCACGCCGGCGGCAAAGGCGGGTTTTTAGCTCACGCCACTTCGTTTCTCCCCGGTGCCAAGGAGCGGGGAAAAGCGCCTCCCCCGCAGCCGCCCGGTTTTTCACCCACTCGTGACGCGCGGCTGCGAGGACGCCGCGCTCGGGGCCCGCCGGGCGCCGCCGCACACACCCGGGGGCGGAGCAACAAGCGACCGCCGGTCACGTGCCCGAGGCGGGATGACGCCATTTCGCCGTGCCCAGCGCGGGCCATGCAGGAAGTAAAGAGCGGCGCGGTGGGTGAGCGGGCCGCGCGCGTGCCGGTGGCGCTCGCGCGGCGCTGAGGGCGGCCCGGTGTGTTCTCCCCCCCGCACCCCCTCAGTGTCCCGGGGCCCCGGGTCTCTGGGGCCGGCTGCCCGGGGCGGGAGAGCCCTGGCGGTGGGGCGGGCGGTGCGGGCGGGCGGGGCGGCCGGTGTGAGGAGCCGGCGGCGGACCCGGCGGCGGGGCGGGTGTGCGAGGCAGGTTGGGTGCAGGAGCCAAGGGCCGCCCTTTTGTGACCGGTGATGTTGTTAAAGCAAACTCTCCTTGCCCCCCCCAAATAGGCTTGGTAACGGATATTAGCCAAGCAGCGGCTTTTCTGAAATTGCAAGGGTAGGAAATAGCGATTTCCGCTGTCACCTAGGGATAGAGGAGGTAAGATCGTCAAAATACTCAATTCTGGACCACAGAATAAAAAGTTCTGTAAAAAGGCTGTAGCTTTTAGGGGATTATGTGAATTTAGTTTAAAAACCTGTAGCTTCATGATAGTTTTAAATGCTGTTAAACTGCCAGTCATGCTTTTACAACAGATTAATTTTGTCTGTTAAGGGGAAGGCAGATATCAAAAAACCTGGTGTGTTTTTCACTTAATATATTCCTCCATTGGATCAGTTTTAAATGCCTGCACATTTAAGAATAAATGCTAGAACTTAGACTGGTGATAGTGCATCTATACTACAGGTTATCCTTGCTGATTACACTTGTGAAATTTCCTTTTGGTCACAGAAAATAGGCCTGTCTGAAGCATACTGGTAAATCTTTTCACTTCAAGCACATGTTTCAACGGGACCTTTTTGAAACACAGGGTTTGTTCCACACTTAAAGTTTTGGATTTATTTATTTATATTCTTCTAGTGACTGTTATTACTATTAGAGGCTGTACATGAATTTCTGTATGCAAGTTCTACAAAATGTATGCATTTCATCTTTTATTTCAGTATTGTAAAATCTGTTGTACAGATTCACCTTGGTTTACTGATCTTGCATTAAGAAAGCATGTAAATGAATATTTACTTCCAAGTACATTAAAGAATATCTTCAAAAGTGTCAGTACATCAGGGGTGGATGTATATGCTTCTCTGTTTGCATGTGCATGCCATAGTGAAGCCCACTGGTTTTATTCCTTCAGTTTTACCATAACTGTTCAGGTACAGTGATACTGAAAATGAGTTAAAATTCATTCCCAGTGGAAAATTTTGGGCTGGTGTTTTCAGTGTATGTTACTCAAGTACGGCTAGGTACTGTCAGCTGGCCTCTTGGTCATTTAAAATATTTGACAATACACTTTAGTGTTGGGTATGTCATATACTTAACTAGGGGGACAGGGAAGTAAAATGAAGACTTTACCTGTTTGAAAAGTTAAAAAAAGACCTGAACAAAATTCAGAATGAGTAAACTTTTAGTTACAATGGAGCTTGTCTGGCAAGGAAAGTATCAACTTTATGTTGCTTTTTGTTATTCTTTTATTTTTTTTAAAGTATTAAGTAATACCTTCCCAAGCTTCTGAAAAAAAGGGGATAGGGGATTTAATGGATTAATATCGACTAGGCAGCTGTTGGACCCTTGAATAAAGTTTTATTATGGAAGTCTTGGCATCAAGTACTGTGTAATCTGACTCTTACTGCTAACATCTATATGATAAACAATTGTTTGCCTCTTTTATGATAAACTTTATGTGACAGTTGCAAAATGAAATATTTTGTAAGGCTTAAGACCTATGGAGTACTAAAATGTTTGCTAGTTTATGTTACTGCTTCTACTTCTTACACACAGAAAAAGAAGTCTATAAAAATGGTCAGAAAATACTGTGCAGTTAGTTCTGCTGTGCATAGTTCTAGTACTTGCAAATTGTCAAGAAATTAACAGATTTTTTTGATGTTAATAAAAAGAGATTTGAGAGGTTTTTCAAGTAAGCTATCAAAGTTCACACTACCACAAATTCCAGCTGCTGTTAAATATATAGAAATTTTTTTTAAAAAAGGAGGGGGGGAGATGACAAAATGGCATATTTCCAATATGACCATTAAAGCAAGATGTTGTGACAGATCAGAAACATTTATCTTTCACCGTGAAAAATACGGCAAATGTCAAACCTGTATCCAAAAAAACATATCCACGACAATACCAGCAAATAAGGAAAGCATTTACAGTAGAAGGGGATAAGCTGTATAAACTGAATGTAGAAGGTATAGCTGGGTAACACTGAAGACTTAGTTTAAGGAAGTGTTGTGTAAGGAAAAGCATAACTGCCTCTCAGAGAAGAGCTGGCTGTTTGGCAGTTATTAGGAAATTAAACCCACCTCTCATTCCCTTCCCCGTGTTCCAAAAAGGATGAAAGAGAAAAGCATGTAAGCTCTGTTTCTGTTGCACAAGTGACTTCACAGGATGATAAAGTTGGAACTATTCAATTCAATCTAAGCTACAGTACAGCAAAACTGTAGTGCATCTATTTAGATCGGTGTCAGCTAATATAGCTGTGCTGGAAACCTTATTTTGATTTTCCTGTATATAAAATCATACCATTGATTCCTGTGTAAGGGACAGGTAACAAAAGGCAATCACATAGGATTGTGTTGTACAAACTAAAAATTTATTCTTTAAAAATTAGTTGAAGGAATCATTTCAAGATCATTTCAGTTCAAACTGTTGGTTTGATAAGCACTGTGGACAAAACCTGAATCAGTAGCTGTTGATATCCCCTCTGGACTTAGAAAATAGCAGTTACTAGCTTGATAAATCGATGTGTTGTGATAAATAGATAATGAGCCTACATTCTTATGTGTGTGAAGAGTTTTAAAGCTAATATTTTAAAACCTTATTTTTAGTATGTAGCAAATCCTTGTTTTGCAACATCCAGGCTTATCTTCGCTACCTAGTCAAAGAATGGGATGCCTAACAGGAGGACCTTCCCTCCCCCAGACATATATTTGAATATTCTGTGTCATGGACTGTGTTTCTGAAACTTGCATCTTAAGATGTGTAGGTATAGATGTGACGGAGAATACTAACAGTAGGTAAAGGAGACTCTCAAGGATAACATTTTTACTTTAGGAGTTTTCAAGAAAATAAGCAGATTGAGCTGAATCACCTCACAGTGAAGTGAATGCTGCTGCTAACATGAGCAAAGGGACTGTTACGCCTGGTTGAAGTAGAGGCTTATGGTAGCCCAGTTTAGATGTTTTACTCATCATTTTGGTGTAGAGTCTAAAATTCTTAAATTTGTATGTTGTGAATTGCAGACTATATGTTTATAGGAATACCGTTCAGCCAATATGGAGTAGTGACTTGGGTTATTTAAAAAAAAGAAAGTCCTTCCCATACACAGACCTTTAGAAGAGCTGTAAGAAAATAATCTAGACTTGTACATCATATGGACTTTCTAGTGCAACTATTAAGGAGGTTCTAGGTTTTGTTTCCAGCTTTGCCCTTCACTGGCTGCAAGACTTTTCTTGATTTTAGTTTCCCTTTCCTAGCTTTACTTGTTAATTTGTAAATGATTTATGAGTGTTCTACTCTCACCACAAGCTGAGAGTGAAGTCCTAGGTAAATGAAATGTTAGTTTGATTTTTAAGTGCCATCAGAACTTAAGTAGCACTAATAGACTTTTAGACTGGTATCTATATAACAGAAGGAATGCAGATACAGCGTTTAGCATTTTGTTATTTTTATGTGTGGCAGCACAATACAAGATATAACTCAGAAGTATGTAGTTCAGATGTAGCATCCTAAGTTATAGGAGAAATCATGGAATGTCTGTCAGGAAATCAGATCTTTCTAGGTAGCTTGGCCAATACAGAACATATACTTGCATTACATAATTTTATATACAAGAAATTGGAAGGACTTTGCTTGGACTGAAAGGACCTCTGGTCAGTGATTTTAAAAATTGGAGATACTTAAACATTCAGAGGAGTAAGGCTTTCTGCACTTTAACCCAACAAAATATATTCAAAAGAAAGATTAAGTGGTCACAAGTAATACGGTCAATTGAGTATGTACTTAACAGGCGTATCTGCTTTTACAGAATTCTGTTTAACAGCGATCATTAACTAAAATCATGGCAGCTGCCAGCAGTGATATACACCATCCTGTAGATCCTGGAATATCAAAGCTGCAGTTTGCTCCCTTCAGTAGTGCCTTGGATGCAGGATTCTGGCATGAACTAACCCAGAAGAAACTCAATGAGTACCGACTGGATGAGACCCCAAAAGTTATCAAAGGATACTACTACAACGGTGGGTGGAAACTGAACATCTTGCTTTGTAGTTTGGGTTTCTCCTGTCATTCCTCTAAGTATTTGTATAACGTGTTTTACGCATTTTGTTGAAACATCAGAAAACACGGCTGAGCGAGCTGTGAATTCTGGTGTGTCTGTGGGTAATTTATAACTTACATTAACAAAAACAGGGAAATTAGTCTATGTATTTCAGTTTAAAAGAAGCGTGTTGCTTCTTTTTGTCCAGGTGATCCTTTGGGTTTGCCAGCTCGCTTGACACTGGAGTTTAGTGCCTTTGATATGTAAGTACGTACTGTGGTTTACCTTAGTTTGTATGTGAAGACACTTTCCTTGCATAACAGTAATGCTTTGATCTAGAATATTACTTGGACAAATTTGACATGAAAATAAATACATGTTTTCATGAACTTTATAACAGTGAAGAGACTGCTTTGAGTAGCAAACATTAACTCCCTGTGTACGAAGTAGTATGTTCTTCTGAAGGGCCAAGTTTAAAATATGCTGGTAAGTCTCAAATTCACTCACTGTTTGTATATATGTTTATATAAAATACTGTTTTTTTCCATTTATTCCACTCTTCTGTGTAAGGAAGAATATTTCAGTCATCTGAGTTATGGTCATGTTTTTCCTTATATCTTTATTTACTGAGGATTCATCATTACAATTAGGATCTCAAAATAGTTTTTATAATCCCGAGTTGTTACACTGTAATATCTTTCAACATATTTAACCTTTATGACTAGAATTTTATACTTTTGCCTTTGCCCCCAAAGTAAAAGATAAACCAAAGCTGCTCAGTGTACATGACAAAAAATGAGGTGAGAAGGGAAATATTTTTTCCCCATGGTTTTCATTTCCAGTAAATGCCTAAGTTAGTATAACTAACATAGGAACAGATGTCTTCATAGTTATTGTCTTGTTTGCTTTAAATTGGTGGATTATGAAGTTGTAAATCACAGAAGTGACTTTCTCTTGGTCACGATCTTAGGAGCCTAGTGAAGCTTTGTGCATTTTGAGATAATTTATTAGGAGATATTATTCCATTAATTCTTACATAAGAACTTTTAGGTATGACACTGAAAGCATATGCAGCAAAGTGAAATTGGAAGAAAGCTGTAATATTGGAAACAAGGAATTTCAGATTAGTTAAAAATCGATGGTGCCATGGTATTTGAGCTCTCAGATGCTACAACAAAAATAAAATTATGAAAGGTCCATTTATGTAGTGTTTAGTTATTCCTTCTACGGTAGTAATTTTTTGTACGTCTGTTCTGTACTTCAGGTAGTCAGTTTAGATGATTATGAAGAATTCCCTTGTAGCTTTAAAAATTTTTGGAAACTACATCATGTGTGTTTATTATGTAATGAACATTTGCTGTATTTGAGTTTTAGCAGTGGTCAGAAACATCAGTTTGGGAGAATGATGTTAGAGTCAGTGAAATCAACGAGATCTATAAATTAAGGGAAGGTTTGAGGTTTTTTACCAAATTTACATTCAAAAAGAGGAAAAATATATACTGTGTTTGCAAACAGCAGCTTCTCCAGCTGATGATATTACAAGCTATAAAAGCTATTCAATCTTTTGTCTGATTTAGGCTTCCTTTGGGATGTTTTTTAAGCATAAAATTTTAACTCAGTAACTACGTGAATGAAATACATCTAAAGTTCAGTCATAATAACTTTTTCTTAGTGCAAATCACATTTGTCATGGATAGTTTATATTCAAACAGAATTTTTAAATCTTCAATCTGTGATTTAATGCCACGTTGCTTAGAGAGAATACAGATGCCTGATATATTTTTGAAGTGATAAGTAGATGTGTATTGGCACAGGTTTTTGTACCAATCCACGTTCAGTGAAGCATTACAATCATAAAATGTTTTTGTTAGAACTGTTATTAACTGTTGTTACTGTACTCATCATTTGACAACTTCAGGGCAACCTTACACCATAGGATAGCTACTGCTATTACCGCTGATCGTGTCAAAGGCATTTGTATCCAATTCCCAGAGGTTTCTTTCTTTTATTCAGGAATGCTTCAATACCAGCGCGTTGCTGCCCTGCTTTTGGAACATTGTATAATACCAACACTTTTGAGACTTTCAAATCCTGTGATAAGAAATCACTTTTGGAAAAAGAAGCAAATGAGGTAAGATTGAAAATCAAATCAACTGGTAGAAAGGATTTGGAAATAACCAGTGAAGTGCTTTACAGTCTCTGCCCCAAATATTGGAGGTACCATCCATTCTCACCCATATAGTAGCCTCAGGATTTAACTTGAAGGAATAGTTTGATGTTGTTTTTTACTCTTCTTTAAAGAGTAGAAAGTAGCTAATTATACTTGGAGGACTTAATTCAGTGTTCTAGTAGGCCACATTTTAAGCTTAACAGTGCTACTGGAGCTACCGGTGACTTGTATTCTGTAGAACACACTTTTTAAATTTGTCTTGACACCCAGAAACCAGCAGAAGCCTGGTTTGAACTTCAGATTGCTGCAGTACATGTGTGTGACAAAGTAATGGGGAAGCTCCAGAACAGCAGGAAGACTTAAGTAAACCAGGAAAAAGGTGGCTGTCGATGGAAGGGGCTAGTCAGAGTGCTTTATTTGGTCTTTTTTTTTTTTGTTTTGTTTATTTTTGTTAAGACAAAGATCAAACAGGTCTGTCTCATACAAGTATTATAGCTTCTTGTCTCACAGACATGCAGTCTACCGCCTCTTCCAAGTCTCCAATGTTTTGGTCAAATTTCCTAGTAGCTTATTCACGTATCTAGTATCTGTAGATCCCATGAATGAAAAAGATGAGAGTGCAATAAAAGGCTATGTGAATATCACCCTATGTTCTATATTGTGCTAGTGCTAATAGTTCACATACATGAAAGACTGTTCCTGATGAGGTTTGTTTTGTTTGTTTCTCCATGCTTGATCTGTGAACTAATCCTATTGTACCCCCGCTTCTGTCATTTTTTGTGTTAGAGAGTGCATGTCTATGTCCTACCTTTAGAATCCTTTTAGCACAGATAATAATGTGGATGAGATCAGTTAGGAAAAGATCACAGTGTATTGCTGGGAATGTTAATTTCAGTATTTTAAAGGTAGCTGGAAGAATTAAAGATTTCTGCAGTTCTTCTCATGCTACCTTGGTGTTTTGTTTCTATGCCCTTTCTCTTCCTTCTTGTCCCCACAATCACTGACAGATTTGGGAATCAATAAAATCTGGAGCTGCTCTTGAAAACCCTATGCTCTTGAACAGGTTCCTGCTGCTGACATTTGCAGTGAGTAACGATAATAAGTCTCATACTTAGAGCACTGTAGAGGAAGTTATGAAGTAGTTTCTTTTTAGCAGAAATGCCATGTTAGTATTAACATATTAATGATACCAGAATTGTTCTCAGACATCTTAAAAATATCTGAAAGCATTTAAAAAAAAACCTAATAAGCTACTCTCGTGTACAGATATAAAATTATTCAGGATGTATTCTTTAAAAAGATACTGGTGCCATCTCATTCTCTTCTATTAATGTGTAAGATTATCTGATGACCTTATAGATACTAGTAAAAGTAGAACAACTGTTTCATGTTTAACAAATTTAAAGTTTTAGTAGATAATGCTCCAGCTAACAAAAACTGAATGTGGTACAGACATTGTCTGATTATATCATAAAATATACAAAGGAAGTCTTCTAGTATTTCCTACTATTTTCTAAAATGATGACACAGTGCCTTGTGAAGTAAAGAGAACAATGGTTAGTATGGTTAGTATCATCAACCATCAATTATGGTTAGTATTTCAAACCATAATTTACTTCGATTTATATCTTTATTATCTAATGTTACATATTTTTTTTTTCTAGGATTTAAAAAAGTATCATTTCTACTACTGGTTTTGCTACCCTGCTCTCTGCTTCCCTGATGGAATACATATAATTCAGAAACCAGTGTGTCTTGGTGACAGATTCTCGCTCAATCAGGTACTCAAAATATTAAATGTTGTGAAGTCTGCAGCACTAAGCAGTTTTATGAGCTATAAAACTCAGTATTTTTGTTAGCACATACTGAATTAATTTAAGAATCTAATTTCATTCAAAATCTTCACTTTTTTATTTCCATGTGGGTTTTTTGTTTACCTTTTTTTCATTATTGTATGAAATCTCTCAGTTTAACATCACTTCAGCTTTATTTATTTAGATGCAGATGTGGCAAACAGTTCGTGAAGAGGCAGTTAATTTTAGTTTTTATATACAGCTGATTGAATATATAGCTATGTTCTTGAAATTTATTATATTTTTAAGAAATATTTTTAAAGGGGCATCCCCTGGAGAGCTAAGTCATAAGCAGTTATAAAATTGTTAATAAAATTCATGATGAGACAAGAAAAAGAACTGGATAGAAAGATTTTTTTTTTTTAGGAGAAAAGTTAACAATTTTTTGTAGCTTCTAGTACAATGCAAAAGGATGAAAAAAATCAACTTGCCCTCATATGCCTTTTTGCTTTGACAGAAGTTAATGCAAAACCTTGAATGGCTTTTTAATGGCATAATAATTAGTGAGAAACAGTTTGGGTTTTTTTTTTCAGTGAATAATGTAGTCATTAATAGTGTAAAAATACCTGTCATGATCCAAAGACAGAGTTTCAACTAAACACTAAAAATGCATATAATAAAATAAATTGAATGGGACTCTGTTCTTTTGCTAATACTAGGGGAAGAGATTTGCTTTGTTATAAAGCTAATGTGACTATCAGAATGAGATTTTTATCTTGCTTTAATTTCTATTGGTAGATCAGTTTGCAGCAATTATAATAATGCTCCTGTTTAAATTTGCATTGACCAATACTGTTTTAGCACCTGAGTTTTTGATCTCAGTTACTGTGGTCATAATGGGCTTTCAATCTTCTGAATACACTGTATTCTAAGATTGAGTGAACTTGTCTTCCCAGATGCTAAAACACTTTCCATGGTGCTGTATAAGATTGTTAAAACTGTTGGTTACAGTTGTCTTTTTGCTTTTAGATTCAAGCACTTCAGAAAGCATATGATGAACTTTGCCAGAAAGAGGGGGTTACAGCCTTGCCTTATTTTTTAATCAAGTATCACGACAATTCTGTTATGGTATCTCTACTGAAAAAGTGGGATGTTTTCTTCCAAGACCAAGGAGGAAAGGTAATGAGAATTTGATGTCATTTTATAACCTACAAATGTTTAATTTACAAATGGTTTCAAAAATTTTTACTGTACTGAGCTGGGCACAGTGGGTAGCCGATGAAGAGACTGGGTAAATAGCTGAAGACTGGCGGTTTGGATTGATATTTGGGTTGAGTTAAGCATCTTTAGTTCTTATGCAAAAGCCCAGTTACATCAAATTAATAGTCAGCTTGAAAAAAAAGTTCTTCGTGCCATCTCCCTCATCAAAACAGAAACAATGTAAGTTTATGAGTTGGCATAACGATTACAGTTTTCCAACCACTTTACCTGCAGTGCTATAATAATGCAAAACACTTCTTTCATTGTTTGTGTACTAAAAACTGTTACTCATATTTCATGTATTTTTTGGTTGCGGTAACAGTAATCAGGGAATACTATAAGGGAGTTGTCAACTTTTATGTGGATTTTGCTACATGTGCAAGTTACAAGATATAAGCTTTGGATAAAAATTGCTGGGAATCAGTATATGAAGAGTGTTCAAGGCAATGCTTTGTAATTTTGAAAGACAGATGGGTTGTGCACCAGACTAGGCTGGGATATTTTTTCTGTTAAATGCAGAGATCATGCATGTCCTTTGAGCGTAAAGTGAGTACTGTCCATTGCTTCCAGTTAGGGAAGAATTACAATGGTACATGAAGCAGATGTCATCACAGCAGGAGTTGACTGGTTTGATTGTCTTGTGTTTATGTACATTGACTTCTGTTTTGGATCATGTTGCTCAGCTGCTGAACTTTGCTAGGCCTGTCTGAATGCTTTACTGTCATTATTTTTGGTGAACTTCAAACTTTATCTTGCGTGTCATTGAAGTGTTAGGAAACAAAACTGAGAGTTATGGTGAAGAGCTAATAAGTGCAAAAAACATGTATTTTTTTTAAGGAGGTCTTGTCACACCTTATAAAACTAATTTAGTTCTGTTTTATAATACTTGATCTTCAGTTATTTTTTTGCTTTTCCAAATTTGGTTTTCTGGAATTAAGACCTAGGTCTGCAGTTCTTTGTAAAATAAGAATGTGAAGGTTGAGATTTTAAATGGTAGTATAACTACAATAATGGGTCACAGGTAAAAGTATACTTACTTATATAGGGACGTTGTTAATATGAGAGAAATCTGTAATCATCTGGAATATATTTCTTCATTAACATTCACTTTGGAAGGAAGTGCCCAAATTTTAGACCTGTTGGGTAAGATTTGTTGCATCAATACTGCCTATAGAGTTTGTATTCCAGTGAGCCAGCTGAACTTGCTCCCCTTGAAGAAGAATGTTTTTGCTGTTGCTGAGATAATTTTCTGCTAGTTTATGAAATTGAATCAGCTTACTAAGGGGTCTTAGGCCTGCTTGAGTTAGCAGTTGCAAAGCAGCAGCAGTGGAGCAGTGGGGAGTGGGCCCCTGTTTCTCCTATCTGCGTCCATTAGATTGGCTCATCTGCACTGCAGACTGTGCTAGGGACGCCTTACTGATGTGCTAGAGTGGAGACGAGACACTCTGAGCCCCTCTATAGGCAAAGAAGGAGGAGGGAAGAGCTCTGTAGATGTGAGAGACAGGTATGACTAGTGGTGGCCAAGTTCAGATTTTGAGCATATCTAAAGGTCGTCAGTGATATCTTTCTGTCTCTGGGTGTGTTTTGGTTCTGCATCGACTGTGACATACGCTTCTAGCTTAGATGCCTCAGTTATGAGCGTGGTGTTACATTTGGTTGAACATAAGACAAAATGTCCAGTTCCTTTATTTAGATCCCATTTTGGAGGTTGGCTTTATAAGTTATTTTTATGATGGTTTTATTTAACTTGACGTCTTGCTGGCCTGCCTCCTTTCACTTTTTGATCATCCCAAAATCAATATGGACTTTTGTTTTGAGAGCAAGGCTTCTGTTGGGCTTCTCCTATAATGGTATATTTAAGGAAGGTGAGGAAGGTGCACATACTGTAGTGAAAAGTGAATGTCCATAAAGAGGCTAAACTGAACAAATCTCAAAGCTGTGGTAAATGCTTGGCTGACGTCTAGTGTGACCATGTATTAAACATTTTTAAACATGTAAAATGTGTGTATAGGCCTTCTCTGTCCAGAAGTTTTACTTTAAAAATGCCAGATAAATTTTACTGTGAACTGAATATTAGTATGGATAGATGACTTCTCATTTAGAGCAATTTTATTTGCAGGTGACAGTTGGAGTTTATGATCCATGTAATTTATCTCACTATCCAGGATGGCCGCTGAGAAATTTCCTGATCCTGGCAGCCCACAAATGGTAGGTATTTTATTCTTTCTCACAAAGATTATTTATTGGCTGATTTCAAATTATGCGTTTTTCCTTCCATGGCACTTTAAATCTCAGGTGGGTGGTACAAATAACTTTTAACCTTGACATGACTTACCTTCAATGATTCTGATTTCGTATATTATTCTGTTTTTGACTTCTGTCAGTCACACGTTCCTATTATTCCTAATCCTCACATGCATGCATGTACCTGCAGATGCATGCTTCAGACCCTGCCAATGCCCTCTAGCTGTTGCAAATCTTTTTTAAAGTATTCTATGATTTTGTATAATTAATTAGTGCCAAGTAATAGTAGATGTAAATTTTGAAAATCAGATAGTCAGGTTTTCTAATAGTGTATCTTTCTGAATTTTTTGTTAGGCATGAGTTTGGAAGACAGGACATAGTTTTGCACTCCAGCATTTAAGTATCAAATAAATTTGGGTTGCTGTAACAAAAATGTAATTAAGTTGCATCTTCTTAGTTTTTACTTCTACATTTTGTTACAAAGTACACAGCAGGGAGAATAAATACTTACATAGGTGTGGCATTTTCTGGGCTCCTAGCTGAGCTGTAGCATAGAAGGATGTGCAAGTGCCCAGAGAACTTTACACAATCTGAGATTCAGAGGTCTTTATGCACTAAAGTTCTAATTGTTTGATTTGGATATTTGAATCATAAGGAGGAAAAAAATTATACTACATTGAGAACTAGGAGAATATTGCTTGTGCCATAGCAAAGTACATCATGTCGCCTGATGTGTCCTCTAGTGCTTCCCTGCTTTTTATATTCCTCTAAATACGCAGTTTGTCCAGCAGCATTGTATAAATGGCAGACAGGCTGACAGTGTCATTTCTTTAGAGATGTTTCACAACAAACTAGTAATTTTTGCATACTAAGCAGTTGTTTTTATTTATACCTGATAAGAACAACAGTGTTCCAGTACTAAGAGAAAAAGCCTTATTCAGAATCTGCAAGAGACTAAACCTGTGCAAAATAGCGTTTAAAAGAAGTCCCTCTTCTATTAATGAAGTTGCATGTGTGTCTCTGTTTATATTCTTTTAAATGGCAGGGGCAGCATTCTCCAGTCAGTTGAAGTGCTCTGCTTCAGAGACAGAACCATGCAAGGGGTGAGAGACATAACACACAGCATTATCTTTGAAATAAAACTTCCAGACAGAGCCCTTGGCCCAGGTAATCAATTTAAAAAAAAAAAAAAACAAACTTCTTTCACAATTTTTTTCTCCTTTCTCAATCACTGTGAAGATGGAAAGAATAAATAAATACTACTAAATCATCGCTTATACTGAGTTATTTCAAATGGATTTTAAATTGTTTGAATTTCTGTTAAATGTCTATAGAGGAAATGGTTCCTTCTTAAAAAAAAAAAAAAAAAAAGAAGAGAGAATATTCTTTTTTAATTGTTTCCACCTTAAATTGTGTTTCTAGTTTAAAAATGAAGAGAAGTCCTCCTGGTGTCATATGAAATACAAAACCCAGGCAATTATCAATTAGTCTCTTGTTAAATTTGTACACAGTCCCTCAGCTAGAAAAAATGCATATGATAGTGAATTTATGTGATGCAACCTTTCTGCGTATTTCTAAAATGATAGAAGCCTATTACAGCATGGAATTGATTCTTCAATCCCGTACCGAGGTAGGCAGATGTATTTTAAAGCCATAAACGTGTAACGTTAGAACATCATCTCAGACTCAATTTGTATGTACAGGACAGTATCGCAAAATTTCCTTACCTCATTCAAGAAGTTCTGAATGCTTTACATGTCATTGTTGTGAATTGTTTAATTGTTGTGTAATGAGGATATATAATTCTCTGCTGAACTCACAGATAGGGTTTAGGGAACATGAAGAGATGATTAAACTTGGCAAAACTTGTCAAAATTTACTGTGTTCTGAATTACGAATTTACTGAGTTCTGAACATAGCAGTGTGTCTGACATTAAAGGTCTGGAGGCTTAATAAGAAGCGATGACATCTCTGTCCTTTGTTTGAAGCAAGCTGAACAGGCAAAAGCAGCACATCAGACACCTGAGAGTAAAGCACTTCTCCAAGAAGCAGTGCTTTCAGTTGATGTAAAACAGCAAAATTTGTATAGCAACATATACTAGGTTGTTAAGATACAGATTATTTACTTACAGGTTTAGAATTTGTTTCAATTTTTCCAACAAGGTTAAATCCAACAAAATTTCTTTTTTCTATCCTGTGATATTAAGTGATATTGAGGTTTTCATTCTTTCTTTCCTTCTTTTTTTTTTTTTTTTTTAAATATGCAGATTGTCCAAAAGCTGTAGGATGGGAGAAAAACCAAAAGGGAGGCATAGGTCCGAGGATGGTGAATCTCAGCGAATGCATGGATCCCAAAAGGTTTATTATCTTTTAAATTTCTATAGTTTTCTTTACTCAGGCTTAAGCCATAGCAAGTTGAAATGTGAAATGCAAGGCCTGTCTGTCCCTGTTAGGTAAGAATATACAATAACGCATATACTCTGTATTGTTTGGACAGTCCTATTGGAGGCAAGGACCTTAATAGTAGAGCTGAGTGCAGTGCATCACACTGCAGAGTGCAACGTTTGCTATTTTTGACTCTAGCTTAAAATTTCAAATGCATTATACTTAACACTGAGTAGAACGTAGGCCATAGTGTTACAGGCCTGTGGTTTTCACTGAGCTCTGTAACATGCAGGTTGTTAAATATAATGAAAGTAAGCATGCACAAAAGTTCAGCCTTTTGGAATTGTTAGAGTGTGACAGGAAGGAGCTCAGCAAACATGACCTTAGTAATTTTTCTCATTCTGCACATAATGTATGGGCAACAGATTGAAAACACTTTAGTTACACAGCCTGTTGGCTCGTCTGCTTTCACTGACTACGTGTGTGTTCTTGACTTTGAAACGCTGTAGGGGTGTGTTGATCTCATGATTTAGGTTAACATATTTTACCTATCAAGCTAAGCCATTTTTGTCTTGCAATTGTGGCAATGCTCATGTTCATAGACATTACCGAAGGTTCATTTGAGGGCTCTTAATTCTTTAACTAGATGTAACTTGATCTTCTTTACTCATATGCATGCTCACTTCTGTTAATTCTCAGAGAAACTGTTGGTAATATGCCAGCCTTGGCAACTGTGATCTTAAATCCTTGTTGAACAAATAATTTACTGGATACTGCAAAAGTTATATTTGTGATGTATCAGGGAATGAAAGTGTCAGGAACCAGAGAACTGTGATGACCTAACTTGATGGGAGTTTTAACATCCTGTGTTCTGCTGAATTAATAAATCTGACACTAGGTTGAGCATGGATTTCCTACCTCATTTTCTTTCTAAAACTCCCACAAAGAATTGATGACACCCTTTAGGAGGCAACTGTAATATTTCGTGTTAAGGACAGATGTAACTGGATACAAGAAACCAGTTAATTTAAAAAAGAAACAAATATTTATGGACAAATGGTCTGTATCTTATCACTCAGCCTAACAGGAATCTTGGCTGAGACACTTTTTATTTTCATGCATCAGTTTTGTTACTAAAATTCTAATCTTAGATTGTTACCTTTTTCGGAAGCCCTTAGAGACGTGTTCCAAATAGTAAGGAAGTAGGTGGCTTTAGTAGATTTTTTACAGCAAGTCCAGAGGCTAGCTGACACTTTTTCTGTATAGCCTAGCTTTTGAAAGAGAATGCTTACCTAGCAAAATTTTGTTATTAATGACCATCTTGTCAAATGTCTACAAGCTATTTTTTTAAATTTTCCACTTTACTAGCTATCTTTGTATGCTTGTTTCAGTAGAAACAGTTTCTTGCTTCTGTTTTTAAGCAGTGCAGTCACAGTTTTTATAAGAATGTTGATTATCAGTGTTCGGCCAACACATTAGTTACAAGGGGAAGTTCCAAGGAAATTGAATATCATGAAATCTGTGTATTTATATGGAATGACTTTTGGCATCCTCTGTTTCTATGTTTTCCTGTGTGTCTGATTAGCAGAACAGTTAAACATTTATGGTTAGAAGCCTTCAGAACATACTACATGTGTCACAAGCGAACAAGGAGCATACAAAAAGTTTTTTCTGATCTCCTTGCCATGCACTTTTTTATTAGGTGGAAGTATGCTTGGAGGACTTTGTTTTTCATATTACCTATACGTTGAATTGTTGAATTATTTTTCTCCTTTTTTTTTAAAAAAAAGTAATGAACTTCTTCAGTTGAAATAGAAGTAATTGCTTTGTTGGAGAAACACAAGAACATTCAGAAGTATGTTGCTATTTACTTCATGGCATAGGTTAGCAGAATCATCAGTGGATCTTAATTTGAAGTTGATGTGCTGGCGGTTGGTGCCTACTCTTGATTTGGAAAAAATTGTGTCTGCCAAGTGTCTGCTGCTAGGAGCTGGTACACTGGGTTGTAGTGTTGCAAGAACCTTGATGGTAAGTCCTAAACTAATCTTTAAAACAATCTGCTGTTTCTTGTATATTCTATGTGATTTATTTTTCTTTGGAGTGGCTGCCATGGCACATAACAGAAAAGTTGTATTCCTCTGTATTAAAGTACACATAATACATATTAGTTGATACCATAAATTGCAGGGAAGAGGTAAGATCTGTAGCCAAAGAAATAACTTGAAGTTCTGCTAGTTGTAGATAGTAAGAGAATAGGAATTTGTTTTACATTAGAAAAGATTGAAGAAGAAATTCTGGAATAAATTAATGAGCTAATAAGATCAAATCCACAGTGAAACACTTGAAGTAACTGTGCTCATATTTACTTTCAGGGATGTTAACCACATCCCACTGAATTCAGTAGGGTTTTGAGGGATTACTGTTAAATGATCCGTTTGGACAGACCCAATTTTCTGTTCCCTTATTTCAGTACAAGTACAAGGTTATTGCTATGAATAGCTTCAAAAGCTCTTCTAGCTTGGCCTTTCTAGGAAAATTGGACAAAACTTCTCTTGTGTTTCTGGCGTTACTCAGAAGTTTGTGGCTAAGCCCGTTGTACTTACCATTATTTAAATTACTTTCTTGTTTAGGGTTGGGGAGTCAGGAAGATTACATTTGTGGACAACGCAAAGATCTCCTACTCCAACCCAGTACGACAGCCACTGTATGAGTTTGAAGATTGTCTTAGTGGGGGGAAGCCAAAGGCACTTGCAGCAGCGGACAGGCTACAGAAAATCTTCCCAGGAGTGGTAAGATCAGTATTTAAAATGTGTTAGTATGTTCTTTGGAAGAGAACCAGTGACTTTAAATAACTATTTAAAGTTCTAGTAATTAAGTGTTATTATGACTTGGAAAAGTACTACACAGAGGCATTACGTTGGTTACTGACAAATCTATAAGCATTTTATTTCAAGTACTCCACACCTGTTAAACTTTATTGAAACAATAAATATTTGTAATAATGAAGTGTAGTTAAGGATTATCTGAATCATCTTGTAGCTCATTGATGGTGACGTAACATTTTTTTCTGTCTAGTATGTCCTAATGAACTTCTAGTAGTGGTTGCTTTTAATAATGTGTTTTCCTGCTCTGCTCTTAAATGTGAGTTTAGGCACATTAGTTATCTATTATGGAAGCAGAAGACCTTGAAGGCAGTAATAAATGTATTGTTGAGATTTCCTATTATGGTTTACACTCAAAATTTGCAATCTTATTTAAGTTGATTTTCTACATTAGAGGCAAATAGCTTAATCTTTTAACTTCCAGAAAAGGGAAGTAGTTCGTAGCAGCCTGGAGAAGATATCAGTGTTGGCCTTTGACCAAAGTACTCCTCTTTTTGGGAGCCTGATTGTAATAACTTACTATCAAAATGAAGTAGTTGAAAGAGAACAAAAGACAAGAATTAATGTTTATGTTGTTTTAGAAGCTTTATGATGAAAGACCTACCAATGTAGCCTTTATCCTCTTTGACTCCAGGGATGTGCATCATATGAATGTTACTCTGTGTGCATGTTCAAATGCATCTAATTTTCAATGCTGAAAAAAAGAAGATTAAAAAAAAAAAAACCAAACCTGTACCAATATTTGCAGTTCTCTTAGTTTCATTCTTCATTTGGGAGAAGAATTGATATGGCCTATAATTTCAGAATAGACATGCTCTCAGCTTGCTCTATCATGAACAAAATTTTTTAATACTCTTTTGGAATGTGATAGAAGTCACCCAGCTGTTTATAGTTTTTCTTTTGGATTTGAGACCATCTTAGAATTGGTAGCTATAGTTACCAGAGTTCAGCTGGCAAACAGTATCTTAACCACTTAGTGTAATAAGACTGAGTTACGTATACTTACTATGCAATCCTGTATTTAAATTCCACTGGTTATGTTACTAGTCATAATACTATTAAGAGTTACGAACAGTGGAATATGGATTGTTATGTTGTTTAGTATCAGTGCTGTGAACAAGCTTTACAGAAGATCATTTCTAAACATTTTTAGGCTCCTTTAGTTTGACCCAAGGATTGCTCGGTGCTTTTGTTCTGGTTTTTATCTGTGGTTCTTATTATTGTCATTGTTTATGAAATCACTATTGGTACCAAGTAGTAATTCAATAATTATTTGAATATCAAGTAATGATCCTCAGTATGAAAAAGTGCTAAACATTTAACTTTCAGGACTTTTGATAAGTAAATCAGAAGAGACTCTCTGAAAGTTTCTAGAATTTTATTTAACTTTGCAGCCCTGTAGAGTTACTGCTGCTTGGTGATATTAATTTAGTTATAGAAATACTAAATAGTAGAAAAAGTACAGAAAATAAAGCATCTGTGTGGTGTCACAGAGAGCACCAACATGATGTTAACTAGGATTTGTGTCACATGATTTCTTGCTTTTTGAACTTGAGAAAATGAAAACAGGAATATTAAGGAGTAGTTTAGGTAGAAGAAATAGAAGCTTCTTTGTGGAATCCTGAATGATACAGTTTTGCATGTATAGATAAAGATCAAAAGTTAGTATTATGCGTTTTCTTACTAGAAATAACCAAAAAAGCAAAGGACCAGGCTGTAATATGGAATCTTGAGATTGTGATGAGGCTAAAAAAAAAAAAAAAAGTTGTTAAATGTAACTTGGAGAGTAACTTCCAGTAATAAGTGGGAACCAATAACAGTGCTTTAGTCAGCCTGTATCAATAAGTGTTAGGAAAAAAACAATTTTCCAATTCAGTAATAGCATATACAAAGTGCAGCCCCTACTATATGTAAGGAATTTTTACTCTACTGTATGCCTCAAATGCTCTGCATCTACCACTGTTTGCTTATCACATTATCCCCATCAGTGTTACGCATTCTCTCTTGTTCCCTTGTGTCATGGATGGGTCACATCTGATCAGCCTTCAGTGGGACTGAAACCTAGTTTCATAGCTTCATGGTACAAATGAGGAGAAAGTAGTTGCAGAGATCCTATGTACACTTATGATAGAATGTTTCTAGTATATTTTTTGGTCAGACTCATTTCCACAGTAGAATTTGTGAAGAGGTATCATGTTTGACCATCAGTAAATATAGAGAGAAACAATGTGCTAGCATTAACAAGAATTAACAGGGCTTAACAGTAACAACTCTGGTTCAGAGAGCTAATATCATGCTGACAGCACTTGAGTGGCAAGGTTTAAGCAGCAAGACAAGGACTTGGACTAACAGTAAGTCTTTAATTAGCCTGGGTAAAGTCTTGGTGCTTTGGGACAGTTTGGACAGTGAAGCTACTGTAGCTGGAGATTTTTATAACCCAGCTGACTTTGCTAGACTTCTCAAAATGGAGCTGCATCTGTTACTGCAGATGGCACTGTTACTTGTTACCAAAATCCATATTTATCAGTATAAATGTCTTTGAATAAAAAGATCAGTTGTCCTGGATTTTGAGCCTTCTCATTTCTGTCATACTGAAGGAGCAGCCAAAGCTGCCTCTTGCTATTTGGAAACACACACAGTTCTTTCAAGTTTATGGGAATCCAAGTGGTAATGCTGATTCCGAAGGCATTTCTGGAAATTTGGGTTTATATTTCTGTTAAATTCCCTTGCAGTCTAATTTACTTTGATTTCAGTGTGAGTAATATTTTTCATACAGTATGCAGTTTGTCTTGGTTGACTTTGAAATGCTTGACTGCTCTATGTGAATTCTTTTTTATTTTTTCAATTTTACATCCTTTCTAGTTGGAAGAGTCACTACCTCATCATTGCAAATGAAACAAGAAGGAATGCTTTGGCAAGGAGCTTTGATTTGTTTCATTCCACTTCTAAGATTATCATTAGCTGTAGCTTAGAGTTTTATAATAAAAAGGAAGGGAGGACTCAAAAATAGCAGAATTTGCGGACTCACAGCCTTTCGTTACAAGTAGGTAATGCACAGAGTCATTCATATAGTTGCTGGGGAATTTAACTTTATTGACTCTCTTATACAATCATTTCCTGAAGTATTCAGGCATGGAACTCCAGTGTATTCAGCATTTTATCATCATTTGTACTATACTGCCTGGGGGGGCCTCTTTATGTAGGTATTTCCAGTAGAACAATTTAATGATGACAGCATCACATTCTTAAATTTTCTGTGTAAATACCCACAGCACACCTCTGTTTGGGATTAATTTGTTGAGCACAGATATCTTCAAAGTGATCTGAGCCATGATTTAACAAAAATGCAGAAAGTTAATAGGGATGTGAATCAAAAAGAGAGAGAATGTTATGGTAGCACCACAAAGTTCAGTATTTGTATGTCCATTTGCTTTAAAACAAAACAAAACAAAAGCACTGGAGCTCAAGCCCAGTTTTGGTCAACTGTCAATGAAAGTGTTGGAAAGTGCATTATATTTTATGATTTTTCACATGCCAACATACAGTCCCTTTTTTTAAATAAGTACGTGATTTTAATACTTCATGAGATGGTAAGTAAATATCATTTGTTTTGGATAATTTGGAGGCTTTTAATATATTTTGTTAGTATGAAGGTTCTAGTCTTAAAATCTAAGCCTTTCTGTGAGCAGTCCAGCAAAATTCTTTTTGTCATGTAGAGACTCCCTGAGAATTTGGAATTCTGTGGAATGAACAAGATCTGTCTTTGGAGATATATGCATATTTACTCCTCCTTAAAATAGTATGCACGTGCCATTGCAAGATACACTTCTGCTCTTTTTGCCAGCATTTGGGTGCAAAAGCACACCTCAGCCGCTTCTGCTAGTGACTGGTGTCTTTTTTTTCAAGGGACAGTTATTCAAATAAAGTTGAAGCTATTGAAGCTGCTAGATTTTTATGTATTCCTACAGCTACAGGCATTGGATAGAGTTTTTTTCTGAATTCTGGTAAGATTTTAGTATTTTACAAACCTCATTACCATATTTCCGTGCAGCTAGTGTTCAACTTATTTATTTGTCAGTTTTATTTTTTTGAACAAAACTTGACCTCCTAAGTCACCAACAGTGTCAGTTACACTTATCTAATAAATCAGCATTTGTATGCAGTACAGGGGCTTGATGAGTTTTGCATAAATACATTACGCGTATACAGCATGGATTAAGTTTTGTGTTCCTGCCACAGCTTTTTGGAGGAGATAATAACAGTGAAGGTAAGACCTCCTCCAATAATTAGCCAGTGTCTGTGCTGTCAATGCAGAGCTGTCCTCACTGGGAAACAGTGGAGCTGCCCTTTCAGTAGCCTACTAAATCACTGTGGACTCTACATTTTTCCCCCTGGGGGTGGGGGACAGGGGGAGAAAGGGAGTGGGGGGAAAAGGGGGGTATCCTTTGGTATGGTTAATGCAGATATTACCCAAATTCATTTCCTCAAGCTGCTATATGTGTCTTTCTTTTTGTCTTCAGGTATATTTATGATGTTTAGAATGCATACTTCACCCTCTGGTTATTTGGTTCACGTGGATTTATGAGTTGTGCATGTAATTGGTCTACACAAAAGCATGTTCCACCAACCTTCCTTTCCTATCTTCCCATGTAATTTTATGTTTGGTTCATCTAGCTTTTAAATTGTTAGTTGCTTACAGCACAATGACAAGCAAGGAGACTTTGGCAAGGCCTGTGCTTCTGTAACGTATATGAAGGATCCATTATTCTCCTATAGCAGATGGCTGACAAATTGTGTTAACATATTTCCAAATCAGTGAGTTAATTGTTTGCATTGTGTATATGCTTATTTGGCTCTTTAGCCATTTTCTGCTCAATATGCCTTGCCCAAATATGGAGTTGGAAGAGGCATATGTTTCTACAATGGGAACAAGCTCTTTCAGCGTCTGCATAGTGCAAGCCTCCAGACATCCAAGCACTGAAGTAACAAGTCTCAGAAGTGATTTTTTTCCACATCAAGTTCACATATGGCTGGTCAAATTACATGAAAATTGTTCAAGATTATTGTTCTTCTCACAAAGAATTTAAAACAAAGAGGACAGTGTGTGATACTTTGCATCTGTCTTACTGTAATTGAATCAGTATTCAGTATTAGAAATATAAACTACATCCTGTTAACATTGTGTGTCAAGTGGCTGCAAAGATAATCCAGGACAGAGGTTTTATATAAGTTTAACAGCATGATCATAATCATCTGTCTGCTTGCTTGTGTGGTGATATTTGTGACCTCTGGGATTAGGAGCAGTTCAGCTATCTCCTTGTAGTGATTTGCCAGACCTAATAAGACCTTCTGAGAGACTGGGCTTGTTAGTTCAGGCACCGAGCCACCCGAGCATGGTTGGTCTGCTCCCATGAGCCAAACAGTGTGTTTGCATTGAGCTGCTCTGTTCTGTGTAAATACAGCCGCTGAGTCTGCCCTTCCCTCAGAAACTTCAGCACTGTGCTTTAGTGCACAGCACTGATATACAGTGAGATGTAAAGAATCAAGTGGCCGTTCTGCCAAACAGTAGTTGAATATGTACTCTACAGTTTTGTACTGAACTTTATAATAATTCTCTTCACTCACAAGGTTGTCTTTTTAAGATGTTGTTTTCTGTCTGTCTCCATCTAGAGTTCAGAAGGCTATAACATGAGCATTCCTATGCCAGGCCACCCAGTGAATTTTTCTGAAGTAACAATGGCACAGGCTCAGAAGGATGTGGCTAAACTTGAAGAGCTTATTGATGCTCATGACGTTGTTTTCCTGCTAATGGACACCAGAGAGAGTCGGTGGCTTCCTGCTGTCATTGCAGCCAGCAAGAGGAAGGTACCATACCATACCTTGCTAATATCGTTGTCACTGTATTTCAGCTCTTGCATATCAATCAGCTATGTAGATGTAAAAGAACTTTATGGGAGATTGATATATTTGACCAACCTTTTGTGGTTGTGCAGAAATTTCTTCTTGTTTTCTGTAGCCTCAAAGATTTGGTATAAGACAAAAAGAGAATGCTGAAAAGAGGAAATAGAAACTTGTGTCACAGAGTGGTACAGGTTGAATGATACACTCTGGAGGTGATCTGGTTCAACTCCCTGTTCAAAATGGGGCCAACTTACAGCCTGTTGCTCAATTTCTTGTCTAGTCAATATCTTTTGAGAAACTACAAGGGTACGTATTTCATAGGAATACTAAGAGAAATAGTTTCATAGTAAAAGAATCATAGTAAGGCAGACTAAAATCATTACAGTAGTGACTCCCTGATAGGGGATGTGAATTGTAGAAATTTCTCTGAAACCACATTTTCAAAATATATCTCAAAAGTGCAAAATTAGAAAGTGAATTCTGCACTTAAAAAGTATGCCAACACTTTTTTGGTTAAAAGTTAACTTTGGTTTTTCCTCATTGCCTTATTGGAAAACTTACGGTTGTGTTGAGCTGATACATCCAAACTCTGCTCATGACTCTTACTCAGGTAGTGTTGCATGCTTCAGCTATTTCTGTAGCTTAAAAGTAATATCCTTGTATTATAGGCAAAGAATTAATTTCATGCAATACATGAAATTAAGATGATGAATTCTTATATTAGAATCTGAAGCTTTATAGACTATATTCTGTATATGAGATCAATGAGACTGTATACAGAAATGCTTATGTAGTACAAATGTTAAAACTGGTCATATGAACCAGACTGAGAAATAAAGCATAAGCTTAACAGAGTTTTTCCAGGAGAGCCACAGGAGCATATGGGGAGAAGATTTTGAGCCTTTTTTTCCTGTTCTACGAATCTTACTGAGGATTAGGTGTGAATAATAGATCCTTTACTTTTGTGTGAGTGTTGTTCTTGAAGACAGTGTGGCATTCAAAATTTTCTATGAAAGAGTATTCTAAATCAAACAGGATTCTGGAAGCAGCATCTTTCTCCAGGTTAATACAGTGTTGAAAATATGGTTTTCTGAAGAATCCAGCTAAATGATCCTGAACACTTACTTCCCTTGCTATCATGATGTAGACTTTAGTAAAACAGTCTCAAGTAATCTTGATGTTTCTTAATTCATTTAAGAATTGTGCAGTTTCATATTTATTCAGTTAAAATGGCACAAAATCAGAAAATGCAAGTATTAAGCTTTTAACTTACCAGCTTAACCACAGTGCACATCCTGTGTAATTTATGGTATAAATGTAGTGATGTCCACAGCAATTTATTAAATTGTAAACTTAACATGAGAGTAGAAGAGAACATACATGTAACACAGCTGAGTCAATGTTGTTATTTGATCTTTGATTTTTGTATTTCCTGACTTCTGTGATTTTTCATCTATGACAACTCTAGTTTCCTAATAGTTATCAGTTGTTTCTGGTTTATTTTGTTTGTATTTATATTTCATTCCAAAAAAACTGTATAGTAGGAAGGAGAGAGAATACAGATTTGTGGTATTTGCAAACTGGTTTTATCTTAGAAATTCCAAGTATGTTCCCCTTTCTCCTGAAGTTTATGTTCATCTGAACTTAACTAAATTTCCTCTGCCCCTGTTTTGCAAGCACATTTTTCCAAATCAAACAGTTCTCTAATTTTTATTTAAGCCAGGGTCTTACGTTATTTTCTTTTCTTTCATTCTTTCCTTATTTTGAACAGATTTCTGATCCTGAGATACTTTGCCAGTGAAAAGATCAGTGTGTCCCTTTAGTGTGGACTTCACTGAGCTGTAGCTTCAGGTGTAATTTGAGGGTATGTAATTTGATAACTTAATCAGTTCCAGCTTAATCCTATTGTTTTTTTCTGCAGTTTGCACCTGTGCTCTTTCAGCCATCATTTGGCTGTTTAAAAACACAGAAAGTACATGAAAAGAGTAAGTTTGCAAAGCTGAATATTGAAACTGGAAAGTGCCATCCTACTCTTTCGTATGTATGATGGTTGGTCGTTGCAAGCAATATATACAGTTTTGTATGCAGCCTCCCTGCCTGGTTCAGTCAGAATAGAATTGTTTTAATGATCTCCAAAACATTTCCCCCCACATTTGCTTAGCTAGCTCTCCCCCACTATATTTGTTTTACAGTATTCCAATCGTACTTGGAGGATAAATTTTGTAGTTTCTTTGTGACAGTTCTTTGATACTCAGTGGCATAGTCTGACTGCATTACAGTTACTTGATTTTCATAAGACCACTTTGATGTAAGGAGATGGAACATGTGTAGAAGAGTTGGTTTTCCTGTGTAATCATTGAGTTGCCTTGATGATCTCTTATATTCCTTCTTCCCAAAACAAGTGTCTTAGAGAAACATAAAATTCCATGTGTCAGATGTTAAATCCCTGTTCCTGCTGAGCACTGGAACTTTTAAAATTTTGCTAGTTTTTTTTTCTAAATGCATGTCAAAAGATACACTTTTCCATAGTCTCTTTACCAAGAACAGATTATTTGTTTTTTATCAAGAGTCAATCAGTTAGATTCAAGTAGTTGCTGGACAGTAAACTGAAGGGAGAGAAAGTTTATTGCCATGGGAAATGTTTGGCAATGTTAATTTCTGTTAATACCAGCTGTACCTTGTTATTCATATTTTGGAATAAAATGGAAAACTATTCAGATTTTACAAGTAGATGTAGTGAGAAGATGCAGTCTTTTAATTGTTTGCTGTATACCTGGCTGTGCTACCACAGGTTCAACAGCATGGTTCTACTTCAGGAGTGAAGAAAGAATCAACAGCAGCAATGTTGAAAGTGAATATCCAGAAATTATTTGAAATACCAAGGATGATGATGAAACTCACAAGCTTACTAGTTAAGAGGGTTAATTCTTGATAGCTTCCCTCGAATTCCCTCTTTTAAATAATTTGTGGCTATAAGAATGAAAAATGACAAAGTGCTGTACTAGAATTTCTATCTAAAATATTTGCATATGGAGCAGTATAATATCTTCTTTTATATTTTACTGGATGCAGTCACTATTATATAAATGGTTTTGCTTTTGCTGTATCTAAATCATTGCCTGTAAGTTTGGTAAAACCTGCTAGTTTAAGCATTGGGTTTATGATATTATGGTTATAACATACATAGCTTCACATTACTCTAAGCACTTCTCACAAAATTAAGAGAAAGGGGAAAATGATGACAGTGTAGTTGTGTACCACAGCTGCTTGTGCTCCCCATGTGACTAAACGGATGCATATGAAGACCATAAGTAATCATTAATTGCTTTCCTCACTGAGCAGAAATTTTTTTGGATAATAGACTTGCATTTCACTGCTTTGTCACATAGGAGTGTTTAATGAGTTGTCTTTTCAGTTCACTGTGGTCTGAAATACTACATATAGAATTTCAGTTGAGCTGAAAACTTGTTTTTAATAGCCACTGTTGTACTTAAATGGCACTTGGAATATTATGGCACTTAGAGAATATGAATTTACATAATATGCAGCAAACTTGAAAATAAATTCTGAACTGGAACCCAAGTAAGTTTTTCCAATAATGATACTAATCATTGTATGAATATTGGGCCAAATTTTGATATATGGATGTTAAGTCATATCAGTGCATAGCAGCTTCTGTAACTTTAGTGAGACATTGAATATTAGTTGGTGTGAACCTAGCTTCAGATGTAAACTAGCACAGCACATTTATGGAGTTCCTGTTTTTTTGGGTTTTTTTGTTTTTTTTTTTTTCCAGCAAGTGTGCATAGGTTTGCGTAACAATTAGAGGCAGTCATTAATTTGTACCAAATTTCCCTGAAAGACACAGAAAAAGGTAATGCTTTGTGGATTTCTGAAACAGACTTTTGTTTTGGTTTTGATTTTTTCTAAATGCTTGATGGCTGGAATTTTGCACCTATCAGAAAATTTGTTGTTTATGACTAGAGTGATATATATGCAGTTAATAGGTTGTTCATCCATCTACAGCATGTGGGGTTTTTTTGACGTTTACAGTGAATAAAATGTTGAGGCCTTTTTTTCCTCTCCCCTTTTGGCTCACTTGAAATTTGTTCTTCTTTATTGTTCACAGTTGGTCATCAATGCTGCATTGGGATTTGACACATTTGTTGTTATGAGACACGGACTAAAGAAACCAAAACAGCAAGAATCTGGTGATTCAAGTTTCAACAATGCCTCTGGTTCTTCTGATCTCTTGGGATCATCACTCTTTTCAAATATCCCTGGCTATAAACTGGGTTGCTACTTCTGCAATGATGTTGTGGCACCAGGGGATGTGAGTAGAACCTTATGCAAATGGTGATTATATATTTCTTTTGTTGTGACTTTTAAATTTTTATTTACTTTAAATGATGTTTCATAAAGGGATTTGTTTTATGTTGATATACACAGGATTAAGAAATAGCTCATCTTTTATTTGGCAGATAAATTAATTGCACAGAACTAAAGATATTTTGTGTAGTAGGGCAGCTAGTTTCTGTTGAGTTACTTTTTTCTTTCCTTTAGAATTGTCTATGTTTGTAGTCCACCAGGGATCGAACATTGGATCAGCAGTGCACGGTCAGTCGACCTGGATTAGCCATGGTAGCTGGAGCGCTTGCAGTGGAGTTAATGGTTTCTGTTTTACAGCATCCAGAAGGGTGAGTCATTTCTGGATTCGTGTTCAAGAGGTGTTCTCGGAGAAATAAGATTTATTTCATATCATCTTTTGGGAGAAAGAGGAGGAAGTACATCTAGAGTAGGACAATTCTGCAAGGTATAATGTTGCCTGTAAATTAATGCAATGTATAGCTCACATCTACTATATTAGTGCAATTTAACAGTGTTAAGAAAGAACTGGTTCATCAAATCTTAAGTTTTTACTTGGAAATTGGCAGTTTTCTCTCTCTCTGAGTTTAAAAGTAGAAAAGTAATGAGAATACTTCAAAAGAAGAAAGTATTTCTGTTAGTGGATCTTGGCACTCCTTTACTCAAGAGAGTGAGTATAATGGGGAGCAACCATAACTATGTGTGTTACATGAAGGGCTTCAAGATAAGGCAAGTATTGCAAAATTGTACTTAAAATTAAGTGGGTTTGAAATTCTGTAATTTCAGAATACTCTGAAATTCTGCAACCTGAAATTTAGGCTTGTTTTCTGTCTTTAAAATCTGTGAAACAAGAAGTGAGTTAGGAGTTGGACATGAGTATGCTATGAGTCTCTGAGACTGATTCTGAAAAAGGGGGTTTTATATTCCCATGCTGAATCTTAGTTACTATGAAACAGACTTTCCAGATATGTTCCTTTCCAGATTCTAAACTGTAAGTTGTAACAGAATGTCTTGAAGCTTACTGGAAATTCTGACTGTGGAATATGTCGTCTTGTTCTAATTTTCCTTCTTGGATTTTTGGCAGTGGTTATGCTGTGGCCAGCGGTAGTGATGATAGAATGAATGAGCCGCCTACTTCTCTTGGACTTGTTCCTCATCAGGTAAATAATTTGTGAGTAAATGCTTTTGTTTTGTTCAAAAGCTGGGATAAGACAAACATCACAGACTTTGCCTCCTTAACAAAAACATACTGTATGCTGATTCCATTCCCTGAAGGACTGACTCTCCATGTTTGTTTAAAAAAAACCCAACCAAACAAAAAACCATCACACAAGCCAAGGTAGTTGTGTTCCTGGCATTGTGTCTGTCCTACTTGTGGACATACAATTCCTGCTGCCTACTTAGCAGGAATTTTATTGGAGCAGCCAGTATGTGAATAAGGTGACCTCTGACTTATCTGTTCCCTATCAGAGCTGACAGTATGAGCATCTCAAAGTTACTTTTGTTTGCTTTGTAAATCCTTTCCAAGTTCAAAAAAAAATTTGAATCCAGCCAACTCACAATTATTGTGGTTCTCCAAAATATTCATCTATATCTGGTGCAATACAGCAGTCTTTGTCTATTATTCAACTCAAATTCTAGTTACAAATGTGTTGAGGATACCATTTTTCAAATTGCTGGATAGACTTGGTTTTATTTGTTACATTGATACAATCTTTCAAAAATCTGCCTGCTGATCTTGACCTCATAATCATATGCCCTGTGATATTATCATTGGGGATTAAAAGTATTTTGTGCCTCTTTCTTTATGTTGCTATCTGAGTGACTTTGGATGCTTCCATTGTATAAACAAATCATTTAGTTGTTTCTAAGTGGTACTTTTAGATTCTATTGATACTATTTTTATTTTGTGCCAAGAATGAATCTTGATTCCAAAAAAGATAAAGCTGCTAGTATGTTTTCTTTGCAACATCCAGGTAATCACAGGGATATTGTGATAGTCTATATATTATTTTAATTTTTTTTATAATTTTAGGTAGTAACCAGTGTTCACATGGGTAATTTTATATGATGGTGTCCCCCTGGGTTCTCTCCAGTAATTCTGTAGTCTCTCTAGTGCTCTCTCAGGACTCTCTCTCCCATACCCCTGAAGTTTTTCTACTTGTTGCTGTGGGCGCTGTCAGCTGCAGGATTGGTAGGGAATATCCAGTTCTCGACTGGCTGGTTCACATACCCTTGGGACTAGGCTGTTGTCCTCGCTGGCACTCATCATCTGCTTGTCTGGAAGGTTCTCAGCAGTTTCCAACTTTGGCACTAATCGATAGGTTTGTAGCCTTCACAGTGGCTGACAGGTTACTTTATACCTAAGTTACTCCCTTATCCTATAGGATTATCTGCAGTTAATATGCTAATGCTGTTGTCAGCCAGGCCCAACCTGTGCCAACTGCTGCAGTATATCTGAGGGAGATTTTTTGACCTCTCATATCTCAGTAGGAAGAAAAAGCCAAACCTGTGTCTTGTTCATTTGATGATCCAGGTACTCCCTTTTGATTTATCTGTGGAGAAATTTTTGCTTTCTTAGTTGAAAATTGAATGTCATAATTTCCAGATAGTTCTCTGTAATTATCTGACAGTTTCCCATGATCATTGGTGATGGTCATAAGTGATTTTAATTATGCAGGGTCAGTTTGTTTTGAAAAAGATCTTCATTAATTTTGACAGTTGAATCTTTGTGAGTGTTACACATATACAGTGACTCCGTTTCAAAATGGTGATAATGCTCCAAACCTCTGGAAAACAGATCTGTAATTTCAGCTTTTTCTAAACTTCTAAAAAGGGATAGTGAAGAATTGATTTTTTTTTTTTTTTCCCCAACAAAAAGCCAGAAATATTGCATTAAGTAGTAATATTGCCTTAGAATATTTCCCAGTAAACTGTAGAAAGTTTACTGTTTCTACTGGAAAAGTAATGATCTTATGGTTTGTATATTTCCTGATGATGAGAATTTTATCTGTCCAGTCAGTCCTGTCTGATTTGGTTTATACCCCTTCATGATTTTACTTGCATTATTGTTCTGTTCTGCTTTGAGATATGATCCATATCAAATACAGATTTTGATCAGAAAACTTTTAATTGAGTTACAGCTTGTCTACCCTATATTTGTTTTCACATTTACATTTAGGGACTATCATGAATGTCTTCTCTGTTAGACATTCAAACACAAATATAACTTCAGTAGGTATAAAATGAAAATAGACAATTTTTTTTCAAATATTGTGACATCTAATCTTTTTGCAAACTGCTGCTTTCTCTTAGCATTCCCTCATCTAATCAACTCAGTGAGTGCAATATTTTCTCCAGGAGGGTGTGGTTTTTTGTGTTCTTTGTTCATTTGGTTAGCCCACTTGTGTGGAAAAAGAAGAACAGTAATTAATTAATGCAGCAGTCCTCTTTATTAAGAAGATATTCCTTTGTGGATAATAAATGCTGCACACTCATAGTCTTAGTCTGACATAAATGAACCAAATTTATTTCCATGAAGTGTCTCAGTGTTCCTAGGACAACAGAAATACAAAGCAATGTGGTATCAGAAGGACTTGATTTTGTTGTTTTCCTTTCTTTTCCTGGATGGGGGTTTGGTTTAAAAATGGCTGTATTTTTGTATACTAAGATTATGTATGGCCTGGTGTTTCTGCAAAAATACCTTACTGCTAATACTGTTTAAATTGTTATTAGCTTCTGAAGTTTATGTCATTTCAACTGCATTAAATACATGGAGTACATACTAAAAGTATTTTCCATAATAGGCTTCATTACTAATTAAGGCATTATTATTTGTATTGCAGAGCTACTTAAGTTCTGTTCCTAGTGATGTGTCTTCATTGTAGTAGGCCTGTAAAAGAACAGAATAAAAAAGATGACCAGTACTCCAAAGAATTCATAGTCTAAAAGATCAAACCCTGCTGCAAAGTATTTTCAAGTGCTATCTCTGTCACCAGAAACAATGGTTTGGAATTTTAAAATTACTTATCAGTAGTATCATACTAACAACATAGTTTAGGAATGCACGACAGTTAAGTTTTCAGATTATGTTATAGAGATGGGAAAAATACATGTTGAGTTATACCATGACTTTATATTTTTGATCGAATTTTGCAATCAGAGAAGTCAAACTCCAGGTGGTGCTGTGCCTCTATTTGGCTTAAATACTGTTGCATTTAGATAGTTGGGCCATTATTTCTATATAGAAAAACAGCAGTATATGTTGAGTATAAGTTTGCTACAGGTGTTATTGAGGGTCACTGTGTTAGAACAGTACCTCTAGTTATCCTAGTCGTAGTTGTTCTTTATCTTTTTATTGATAGGGAATTTTGGGAATGTTTTTTGTAATTGTAAAATAGTATTGTAATTTTTTCATCTTCCAGATCCGTGGATTTTTATCAAGATTTGATAATGTTCTTCCAGTCAGCCTGGCATTTGATAAGTGCACAGCCTGTTCAACCAAAGTAAGTCTGAGTATGTCTGTACTTTACTGGGTCTTGCTCTAGATCAGTCTTGGGGTGCCAGGGACTGCTTTGTATTTGACATTTTCTCTTACCTCCTTAGGGCTTGGAATCTGTGTTCTCACTTCAGCTAAAGTTCCTTTGCCCTAATACCCTTCTTTTTTAACTGTTTTCCAAAGTTCTTTGGCATCACCTGACAGCATTCTATCTGCACATAACCATTCTGGTCAGCTAAAGAAACCAAGCAGAGTTTAGGGCCAACATGTTTCTGAAAAGTTGTATCCCATAAATATTGTCAATTTCTTTTAGCTTTGTAGAAAGGAATAAAATTAGTATTGTTTTTAGTTGTTTAAGAAATTATTTCTGATGTCCAATGAATAAAAATATCTTTCTAGCTTTCTTGAACTTAGTATCACTACAAATAATAAGCCAAGTTGTCTATATTTCTGGTTTATGATACAAAACAAACATATGAAGAACACTTAAGAAAAAAAATTACATACATAACATTTCTTTATTGAAAAAAGTGTTTCATTTTGATGGTAGTGTTGACAGTTCTGAGTCACCCAGTCGATTTACAGCTGTTCCTTGGGGCTGAGCTGTGTCTTGCCAGAACACTAGGGCAGCCCACTAATGTGTCTGTGTGAGGCCTCCTCTTCAATCTTGGACTGTTTTCCTGTACTGTGGCCTTGAAAAGTTTCTTTTGTTGAGTTTTCTATGGCCGTGTGGTGAGTGTTCAAGAAGGTTTGATGGGGATATCATGATAGGAAGATTCAGAGATTTTGACTCATGATTTGGACTACTTGGAAGTGTTTACTTTTCTGTACCCTGAGACTTCCTGCAAGTTCCTTCTGTTCTTTTCACTGCATTTGTCCTTTCAGACAGCTACCAAAAACTCTTGAGGCACTATCATTTTTGAGAACTTGCACAATTTCTTTTTCTACAGTACGTTTATCAATGTCCATTTTCTCAAAAGTTGAAGCACTAAACTTAAAACCGCTGTTATTTTTAGAAACATGTATCTACCCTCTTGAATTAGCTGAGCGCTCATCAGTAGCTAAAACTTTATGATAGTGGAGCCTGAGAAATTAAACTGTTAGAATAAGCTTTATTTATTTATTTATTTATTTATTTTTCTTTTTTTTCTTTTTATCTCTGATCCAGGACATATTGATATATAAAAACATAAATTGATGTAGATAAATTAAATGCAGGTATCAATTTTTTGTTAGCAAATCATTTCCTCTTGGAGGTCATTTTAAGAGAGCCCTGTTTTACATAAACAGACTTGATGATTTAATAAAAACTGACTTGGATTTTAGCAGCTGTGCTATTCCCAGAGAGATCGCTTTTCATGTGGTTTGGGTATTAAATTACTTCTGTACTGAAAAGGTTGCTTCACTGGCACACATATTTCCTTACAGTAGAAACATAGCGTTTGTTTACTTTGCTAACTTTCTATTTATTAGCATAAGAGTATGTCACCCTGTATTATCTGGAAATCTGATGCTAATACTTTGAAATGACAAATCCAATTACAATTTAATCGTAGTCTGTAAGTTGGTTTGTTATTTTTTTTTTAATGCAGCGATTTAGCATAATTTCATCCCAATCTATGTCAGATTTACTATAGATTCAAACTTTTAGCACAGGAGAGAAGTGGCTTTTCTGATACTGAATTTGCTGGTACCTTATTAATTTTCTTCTTTTGTATGTGGGCATTCTCTTTTTTGAGCTCTTGTCACTCTGTAACTCTTAAGACATAAAAGTAATGAATTAGGAATTTTTTTTAAAATTCCAGTACAGTCTTTAGCCATCCACTACAGCTGGATGATTTAGGAGAAGCTGCTAATGATCTGCATGTTTAGAGATTAGATTCCATTTCATTTTGACTCAGAGTCATGACTTCATTTCTCAGTTTTTGAAGCCGAAGAGACCAGACGTCCAAGCAGCCAGCTATTCCTTAACCAGAATTGTCCTAAACGGGCTGCATGCCAGAGAAGCTTCCTGCAGGCAATTGTTCAGGAATTTTGGGATGGTCGCAGCAGGAAACCAATCTATTTTTATTCTGGGCCAAATTTTCCTTGTATGAGTTCCCCCTCTGTCTTACTCTGGTTCTGCACAAGTATGTGCTAGAATGGAAAGTATCCTCTTCCAGAGCTAATGGCACTGCACTGCCGGTTGAGTAGCAGGTCTGAGGAGCAGTGTAGGCTCTTCTGATGCTCTTCCTCTTCCACGTCAAACTTGTTCTGTTACTGAGAAGGGAAAGTCCAAAGTTCTTTAGTGTAGATATTTATTTGTAATAACCTAACTCCTTTACTTACAGAACAAGAACGTTAAGCTTATTACTTACCGTGCTAATTAAGCTGTCTGTTTACCTTGTTTGGAGCAAAATTAGGATATTTTCTCATAATATTATGGTGAGAAACATTACAATCCTGTAAAAAATTAGAATAGCCCTGATCGTGTGCTACCTGATCCGTGTAGGCAACTGGCTAAAACCTTGAAACATCACTGTTAAAATATGTATCTCTCTTAATGCAAAACTGCCAGTGTTTTTATTTTAATCAAGGTAATGAAAATTTTTGTGTTATTGCTCTTCCCTCCTCCTTGTGTATCATGGAATGAACCAGGAGACCTCATAGATTCAGAGTTCAGTGTCAGAAAAGAGCATTGCTACTAACCAGTTTGGATACACAGATGACCCTCTGTTTTTACATATAGGTCACAGATCTCATTTCCTCCAGATTTTGAATTGATTGTCTGCTAGGAAGCTATCTTATTAAGGATACTTCTCTCCTTCCCCTACTAATATTGTTCTGGTGTGTAACTATCTCCACTATCAAATTTAATAAAAAAAAAAAAAAACAAAAAAAAAAGCATAAGTGTCTATACTAATTTTCAAATTCTTTCTCAACTTTCTGTTCAGTATGCTGAAAAGCTGAGCTGCTTAAGTCATCGTTTTTTAACCGCTGAGTAATTCTACTGACTTACCTTTGAATGTTTTTCAATTTCATTGCATTTCATGAAGGGGGTAGACACTAGTGTCAGGGATGGTATTTAGGTACTATGTTACGATTTCTGTTTTCAGTCAAGATATTTCCCTACCCTTGCAGATGTTTTCTCTTTTTAACATACCAGGGATACATTAAACACTTTTGCTGTGACATTTACTAAGTGCCTGTGTTGCATAAGTTATTTATGAGTGTTTCAGTTTTGAAATCTATCATCATGTAGACATAACAATGCTCTTATTGTTCTCATCTGCTGCTTCGCATGCATTCTTACTTTAAATGGTTCTGATCAGTTATGACAGTAACCTGCACTATTCAGTAACTTACTGATTTTTTTCAGTTGAGATAATTTTAATTTTGATTCCATCAAGACCCTTCATATTTGCTGTAGCTGCATTGGGAAAAGACTTTCATATTTGCTTTCTCCCAATAACAGCATATTGTACGGTCTGTCAGTGAAACTCTTTTATATCTTTTTATATTATACACATCTCAATTCAGGTATTGTGTTGATGTTAAATAGAGATGTATAAGTCAGGGGGGGAAAAAAGCCTTAGTCTTTCCTGTACTAAAAAAACCTAAGTCTTGCCTAGCTTGCAGAAATGATGGAGGAAATGGGGAGAAATGTTTGTCCTTCAGGAATGAACACTGCAAAAATTATAAAGAATGTTTAAAAAGAGTTATTTCTGTAGCAGTGCTGTAACACTAAGTCTATGTAACTGAGTCCATTTATAACTTTCCTTATTTCCTGAATTTACATATGTTAACATTTGACACTTATATTTACAGTGCACCCTTTGTATTAATATTGGATATATTTCATTCAGACTTAAAGAATGCATCATTAATATAGCTAGGCATATTTTCAGCATATTGAATTAAATGTAATGCTTTTCTTACTCTTAAGGTGGCATAGAAATTTGCTTTATGATAACTGACTTTATCACTTTTGGTTTTCCTCCTTGAAAAAATGCCATTTTAACTGGAGGGAGCAGGAAGCAGGATTATCTTGCCCAGAACTTTTGAAATCTCAGGCAGTCTTTACCTCTCTGGATATAAATTTTAAATTCAATGAGAGAATTGAAATAATATATATTTTTAAAGTTAGTCACAGTAAAGGTGGTTTTATTGCTGGTTGCCTGAAAGATTCATATTCTTAAAAATAATGCCTGGTCTTACCATTTCAAAACTACTGAATTTTTAGTATAAAGTCAACAAAATATAATGTTACTTATCTCAAGTGAAAGGATACTAATGGAAGCTGTGTCATGTACAAAGAGTGCCACATCACACACTAGGAAATGATGACTGTGGTAATGTGACCATTGTGGTGGAATTTTGTTCCCTTAGAGGAGGGCAAATGCAATCAAGAACCCCAGAAATCTTAAAAGTAGCATTAACTTTAATCATTACCCTATCTTGTGAACAGAGAAAACGGTGTGGAATCTGCAGTGTATTCAGTTTTGTACACTGGAGAAGGTGGGGAGGTGTCTGCAGAGACAGGATGGATGATAATTGAAAAATGGAACTTGAAAAAACAACAACACTGAAATCTAATAATGTGGGAGAGAGCTCGTCATCTCTGTCCTACATCTGAAAAAGAGTACATGATGTTAATGAAGTACGTGTAGTTCAGTGGAGAAGTTATGTCTTGTTACTCCTTGCTTAGTCCGTCATGATGACTGGAAGCATCATAGCTAATCCTGCGTGACGGCCGTCGTGCCACATAAACTGCCTTGCACGTAAGAGCTCTTCGAGAAAGGTTGTAAACGGGAGCATGGGGAAAGACAGGGCATGTTTATTTTCAATCTTAAATCATACCATTTACCAAAATTCAGAAAGGAGTTTGACATTCCTATGTGTTAGCACTGTTAGGGCTAGATTGTAAGAGTTGGAAATGATGAATGTTTTGCACCAGTTATTCAGAGTTGTGGGATGCAGATTTGTTGACATTTACTAGATAACATTGTGAGGCTGTTTGATGTCAAC